AGCTGCAGTAAATTCAACGTTACGAGTTATCATAACAAGGGGTTGTTGCTATGCCTTTGATATTCCATCCATTTTGGCGGCAGTAGATGTCGTAGGGGTGACCACAGAATTCATGAAGTTATTCTAAGAACTGGCTGGTATGTAGTGCACGAAAGCAGAGCTTAGCTGGCTCAAAAAAAATATTTATGGTCATCCCTCGAAACGACCACCAAGGTCAGTACGATAAAATGGCGTCAACTGGAGCGATAATACATGAAGGAATGAGTTCTTTTCCCCCCCCACACACACACCAGTATTGTCATAGGGGGTGACCACAGTGTTCTGCCTTAATTCGTGACGTTTTTCTAAGAACTCGCTGCTATGTACTGTGCGAAATCAATCGATCTTGCAAGAATAAATTTTTGGACATCCCTCTTCTAAGAATTCCAATTGAGTGTGTCAGTGTGGCCAGCTCAGGGCAATATGATATTATAAACACAGCACATATCACGTCTCTGCTGTTTATAACTTCATAGTAAAGAAAACACGCCATTCATAACAGTTCGAATGATGAAACCTCTCCCAAGAGCAACAGGAATTTTGCTGCAAGACAGGCATATGTAACGATGACTCAGCGCAGATAAACTCGTGCCTCCTCATATACTGTCCTTCTGACAACAGGCCAGCGAAAAATCTAACAATCTACAGCAAAACCATCAATTATTATGGGCGTTATAACATAGGTGTGCAGCTGGACGAAACATAGACGTCAAACCCCCGCAGACGATTTAAATACCTGACGAAACATACACGTCAAACCACGCTGAACGGTTAAAGTAATAATAAAATAACATTTAGGCTTTTTGGTGATGTTATGCTGAAAAGTCTGACAATATAAAACCTAATTTTAATTTTGACAATTTAAAGGAATACATTTGAAAATCCACTGAGGGACATGCTCATTCCATCTGATAGGGCCAAAAGACAATCTGAGGTCTGGGTTTTATCAAGTGCCATCTGGGAAAGTGGGGAGACCGATATGTTGTATCTACTGACAGCATAAATAATTAGGAAAAGTGTTTGAATGAATAATTAAATATATATTATTATTATCTGATGAATAATTAACAGTTATGCAAAGTAAATACAAGGGTTGGATAAAAAGTAGTGGCAACACTGCTGTAACATGAAAGATGTTCGTCAGGTGGCACTGTAGCTGATAACAGAAGTTCAGTTGAAGTAGTGCAGTGAGTGGCTCTGGTTGTGTTTCATTGGGTTGCATTGTGCATCATCTTGAAGTGCAGGAGCCAAGTTCAAGCACCCTAACAACATGTTTACGAAACAAGAACAATGCTCCTGGATAAAAATTGAAGTTGCATGATGTTGTAGTGCACAAAACTGTTATCAGGGACTGCGAGAAGCATGTGGTGATGCTGCTTTGCCATATCGCACAGTGGCACGATGGGTGCAATTGTTCCGTGAAGGGAGGGATGCCATTCAGGACAGCCGTTGTTCAGGATGACCCCAAGTCTACAACCACACAATTCAGCTTCTTGCTTCTTTACAGGATGTTGATTGTTGATGAGCTGCACAGGAGTTAGCTGCTGAGGGAGGCGTATGTCACAGAATCGTGCTCCACATTCTGCACGATATTCTTGGATACCGCAAAATTGCAGCATGTTGGGTACCCCATACAATGTCCAAGGTGCAACAATGGCAACATCATGCAATTGCACAGGACTTGTTGGACTGGTACCAGAGGGAAGGTGATGACTTCATTGGAAGGATTGTCACTCTAAATGAAACTGGGGCTCGCTCACATGAACTGCACTTGAAACGACAATCAAATGAATGGAAGCATCCTAGCTCTCCTCGTCCAAAGAAAGTGTGCCCTACACAGAGTAATGTGAAGGCGATGTTCATTGTGGCCTATGACATTGATGGAGTGATACTGCACTACACTGTACCTCAACGATAGACAGTAAACACTGCCTACTACTGCAATTTCCTGTGTAATCATCTTCGTCCAGCACTCAGGAGAAAGCGATGACACTTGTTGCCAATGAATCCCATCATCCTTCATGACAATGCAACGGCTCATACTGCTGACGCTGTCAAGGATCTCCTTAGCCGCTGGTGATGGGAGATATGGCAACATCTGCCATACTCACACAATATGACTCCGCGCAATTATGATCTCTTTGTCAAAATGAAAGAACCACTATGAGGGACATGTTACAACACAAGAGAGATTATTTGTGCTGTAGGGCGGTCACTGCTGGACATCAACAGAGGTGGACATGCTGATGGTGTATGACGCCCTCCACAAATTTGGCCAAAGGTGGTACACATGGGGGGCAATTATAATGAAGGAATGTAAGTGTGTTTATCTCAGGTAATAAAGTCATTTCAGAACTATAGAGGTGTTGCCACTACTTTTTATCTGACCTTTGTAGAACTGTGTAGAACTGACAGCATTATAATTATTGCTCAACACTGAAAGTTATAAATATAATTGGTGTAACTGTTCAAAAAAATTATGTAGTATGACAATAAGAATAGAACTTATGAAATGAATGAATTATTTCTACCACAATGAAATTAAATTTCGTGAAAGGTAATGATATGTTCATTTAGTGGGATGTGCATAATCTTCTTGAAAAGTTTGTAGACAACCAACTGGCAAATGAGAGACCAAGAATAAAGATGTAGGATTTAAAGTTCTCATGGTAGTGGTGGAGCCTCTTCTACAAGTTATGTTAGCTAAACTACTGCTGCACCTTGAATCATACAAACTGCTGGGCTGGTATAATGCTAAGTTACCTTTATCTACCACTGACTCCTCTCGCTGGTGGTCAAAACTGCGTGACCTGGGCTCTGTCTCTGGGCTGACAGGCCGGGCACCTGTGTAGGAGAGACTGCGCTGGGAATGCTGGGACACCAGCTCAGCTGACAATCCAGATGCCAGGTCCAGTGGGTCATGGGCTGGAGATGCCCTACATGTATGTAAACTTAAGATTAATTTCCATCAAAGAAACTTCCATCTCACAGCAATTCCATCAACTGTCTTCAAAATCATAATGTAACCGATCATTACCTTCCGGCCTAATTCTTAAATATTAATACTCAGGACTTAATACCAATCTTGCACTAAAGGTGACTTATACCACTTTTGCTGTAAATATTCGGAGAATTTTGCGGCAAGGAATGTGTAGATAAGAGCTACTAGAAAGATCTTTGACAGCTGGTGTGACATGTGAATCACTTACTCCTCCCACTAGCCCAATTAAATAAACTTCCAGAACATTCTCAAGCTGTAGAACAGTGTGGAAACTTCAAGAAAATTCTCAATGCAGAAGATTCTGGAAGTATTACATTATCCAAGATTATGTAAAGGACTGATTTCAGATGGCGCTAGACAGATCATTATAGTACAATTCAGTATGTGTATCTATAACAGTACAATAGCATCATCAGTATAGCAGTATTCAAATGTGTGTGTACAGTATTCAGTGTATTCATTACAAGCACTGGGCATCATGTACAGTTGTGTACCAGAAGAGGTGTATCCATGACCTAAAGTGACTAACTTGTAAAATTGTGTAGTGTGGTCAAATATATCAAGTCCTACAATTTTATCATCAAAGTGTGATTCAGTCACTTCTTCAGCAAACCCTCTCTCATTGGAGCAAGGCCCATAAAGCTCTGAAGAGAATCTCATGTTCACAACCTGAATATCATTCACTTTTCCTGCCCTCACGTCATTCTCAGCACTACAACATGGTTCTAAGACCATGTGGCGTCCACAACTATAATCAAGACTATATCATCGAGGGCGTAAGTGAAGAACTGTTAAAAGTGGTCATCCAACAAGTGGCTTTTAGGCAAAAGGGAAGAGTAGGGCTGATAAAGTGTCATCTAGAGTGGCTACTATGCACAGTCAAAATAATACAATCAAAACTGTCTCACTTTATCAGGAAGTCACCAAACCTCCTTATGTGTTGTATCAAGTGAATAAAATGAACATAAATGAATGGAGAAGCTTTGTCTGTTAATATGCTTCATCTTAAGAAATTGCAGAACGTATCTTCATGAAACTTGGTATTGAGGAGTTGCTGTTTTCATTTGCCAAGAAAAGGAATAAACTTTGCAGAAATTTGTAACATGCTGAGATCCTGTGTCAAAACATATTAGCATGATCCAAATAAGATTCTCACTTCAACAGTGAAAGTCATGGATAGTCACAACTATTCTTTCATGAACAAGTTCTTTGATACGCATTAGATTTTCATTCATATTACTCATGGAAAGACATCCAGAGAATTTAGGATTGTTAGCTGACATCACCCCATTTTCGAATTTGGAAAATCAGTAAAATGTTTCATTTCTGCTCACTGTTTCCTTTCCAAAAGCATATTTTAACACATCATATGTTTCTATAGCAGTTCTGTCTAAGTCTGAAGCTCTTAATGCACTGTTCTTTGAAATCTACAATTTTCTGCTAACATGAAAATCAGAGAAGGCACAACACAGAATCTTAGTTTATAGGGTGAAACTTTTGAGTGATGCAAGCTACAACTTTAAAATGAATGTCAAATAACAGCAGATTCTACTCTACCTCCATCTAGCAGATAAGTATTGAACTAGGAGCTGTAGTTGCATTTTGTGGCCAGACAGAAACAATTTGATCATACCACATACTTCTATGGTACTGCATTTTATGAAAGAGGTGCCTGAACTAGGTCCTGTTATGCCCTGCCAAGAGGTTGAATTATGAAAGAAAGGAAGAAAGAAAAGAAATGGCACTCAAATGTCTATTTATAAAAAGAAGTGAACACCCAATAAAACAGCAAAATAAATAAATAACTAACAAGAATGTGACCTAGCAAGGTATTACATTTGCTTTAAGGCACTTTATGTCGGGTAACATGTTGTAATACGAGATATGTTCATGGTTTAAAATAGGAATCATCATGAATAAACAGCTAAAAGGTAAAGCTGTCCCTCTATGTTTTCTTGACCTCGGTACTAGTTATTCATGAGTGGTCAGCTTGATGTCCCAGCAGCTTTACTCCTACAGAAGGAGCCCCCACTACCCATTAGCTAAGAGGCTGGGTTGGCCCCAGAACCAGTCTGGATGATGCGGAGAAGAGAAAATTCTTCATCCTAACAGGACTCAAACTCTGACCCCTCCATTGTCCAGGTTGTAGCCAGTTGCTACCAACATTAACTGATAAAAGCAGTTCATTTATTTTTCAGATACTATAAAAGATTTGCAGGACAACAAACCATTATGTGGCATAAAGCAAGGGCCACTCTGCACATATAACATGATGGTATCAAGCAGGTTGGTACAGTAGCAGCGCCCTAGGCTTGCATTCAGGAAGTACCTCAGTTTGAATCCTGGCCAGGATGGGGGATATACTGACTGATGGCTTTTGTGGTTTTTCTCAGTTCTTCCAGGCAAACATAGGAACAGTACACTATTTAGGCGATGATCAGACTTACAATATACCTTATAGGGATCGGTTCTGATGCAAGACGGGCTCCCTGCTGCTGCACCTCTGGCTTCTCCGATGGGGGTGACTCATCTGAAGGGGCAGGCGATCCCTAATCACAACATTAAGTTAGGGCCAAGATAAATAAACTCTCTGGAAACATATGGTATTTGGCTTGCTCTCATTAAACACTTTGGTCTCTACAAATAAAATATTTTGTACCAGAGAGCTTTGTGCAGTACTAGAGAAACTCCTGGTCCCAATCAAATTCACTAACAGCATTAAGGTAACTTGGATTTATTTAATTTCTCATCATATATTATTCTATTCACTACTTGCTCTTTTACCAGCTTTATCATCCTTCTATCTTGTATCATAACTGCCATTTTCAGACCAAAAGCAATTAATTTTTCTAAGGTATTATTCTGTAATAGTAGTTCTGTCTCACACAGTACTGAATATTTTTATGGTCTGACTATTTCCCTTGCTTGTATTTAACATATCTGATTACCAGTGCATGATCAGGTTCCAAATGATAATATAATTTTATTACTGTTCAAATATCTATGGAACAGCATCTCATTTTCACAGGAACTGGCAAACTGCAGATGTTTTTAATAGATCGTTTTCAAAGATCAGTTGGCCATGTGCCACTACTCATGAAACCGAAAAAATTATAAAAACATTATTACAGCTGAAGAATTTTTGTGGGTATGAGGAGATCTCAAGTAGAATAATTAAACTGAGTGCTCCTTACATGATTTCACCATTAACATATATTTGTAATGCTATTTTGATAGTACTGGTGTATTCCCAGATAGATTAAAAAATGCTTTTCTTCAATACGTTAGAAGAAAAGCAGTGGCATGCACACAGACAGCCAGCACAAAAATAACACGCAAGCTGTGCTGAATGCAAGAGGTAGCCGCTGCAGCACACATAAGCACAGAGCAGGTGTCTCTGTGATTTTTGATTTTAAATTTAAATTTTAAATATTAAAGCTAAATTGAGAATTTAAAATTTTAAACCAATCGACGAGTCAATATTAATAAAGGTTTTTAACATAACTGACAAAACTGACAAGGGGAGTTCTGGAATATTGGGTGCCAACTGACGACAGAGAAATGAACAATTGGAAATCTGGAGTTTAAATGTTAATATTGAGTGCAGTGTGACAGCTACGTGAAGTGAAATACACCTGATGATGGCAGGTTGCGGCCGAAACATGTAGTGTGAAAGAAAGGGGACAAGAACTACAATAAAGTATTACACTTACAACGGAGTTTGTATTATACATATAGAAGTGTGGAATGTAACAGGATGCTTAAATATAATATGCTTTGGTTAATCCTTTTTTTTAAAAAAGGAAACATACATGAAATAGCTAATTACAGGCCCATATCATTGTTGATTTCATTCCCGAAAATGATTGAAAAACTTATTTTTTTTAGAGATTAATTGCGCATATTAAAGTGAAACAGGTATCGATTGGCGGGAAAGAAGATTGATTAGTAAATTGTACATGGATCAGAAAGTTAGAGTGGAACTGGACAGAGGGGAGACAAGAAGTGTGAAGATTGGAAGAGGAGTTCGACAAGGATGCTGTTTATCACAAATTTTGTCCAACTTGTACAGCGAATGCCTTACCAAGGAAGCTCTGGATGGGCTTGGAGACTTCAAATTAGGAGGGCAAATTATTCAAACTGTGAAATATGCAGATGACCTTGTGTTAATGGCTAAGGAAGAAACTGTGCTACAGGGTATGATTGATAGACTAATTGAAATTGGAAGGTGCTATGGCATGGAAATGAATGTGGAAAAAACGAAAGTAATGAAAATTTCGAGACAACCAACCCCAGTCACAAGAAAGATAGACCAAAAACAACTGGAGAATGTGAAATGTTTTAAATATTTGGGTAGCTTGTTAACAGATGATGGAAGGTGTACTTGTGAAATTAAATCTAGGATTGCCATGGCAAAAGCTGCATTTAGCAAGAAGAAGAATCTTTTTACCAGCAAATTGGACTTAAATTTGAGAAAGAAACTAGTGAAATGCTACATTTGGAGCATGGCTTTGTATGGGGCTGAAACTTGGACACTTAGGGCAGTAGATCAGAAACACCTGGAAAGCTTCAAAATGTGGTGTTGGAGAGGGATGGACAAGGTCAGTTGGACCGATTATGTGAGAAATGAAGAAGTGTTATTTAGAGCCAGTAAGCAGAGGAATATCCACGAAATAAGAAAACGGAAGGCTAATTGGATTGGTCATATCTTACGCAGTAACTGCCTTCTAAAAGAAGTTATTGAAGGAAAGACAGAGGGGCAGATAGAAGTGACCAGAAGATGAGGAAGAAGGTGTAAGAAGATGCTGGATGACCTTGGGGACGGAAGAGGATATTCTCATTTGAAAGGGAAAGCTCTAGATCATATTAAGAGGAGGAACTGTTTTGGAAGAGACTGTGGACCTGTCGTCTGACAGATTACTGATGAATGAATGAATTGAAGTGAATGTATTTTGGCTCCTGAACAGTATGGATTTAGGACTCATTTTTCGACTGAGAAGGCAGCCTTCTCTTTATTAGACAGTATTCTTACAGCTATGGATAAGAAGCACATTGTGGAAGGTGTTTTCTGTGATTTGCAAAAGGCTTTTGATTGTGTCAATCATGATATGGTAGATATGGTCATCAATAAAATTTCCTCTGCATGTTTTGCACTTAGAAATATAAAATATATAGGATCATTTGAAACTTTAAGGCTAATTTATTTTGCTCATGTACACTCTACTATGAGTTATGGGGTAATCTTCTGGGGTGGCTCCTCTTATGCTAAGAAGGTGTTTATTTTGCAAAAGAGAATCATTAGAAATGTAACGAATGCTAAACCAAGAGATTCATGTATGGAAATTTTTATGAAATTGGAAATAATGACATTATATTCCCAGTATATATTGTGACATATCTGTGCTATGCAGGAACTGTTGAGCCACAGAGGCCTTGGGGCACGCGTGCAATGTGAGAGTTGCTGAGTGTATCGGCGCATTGCTAAGCAACAACTCTGTGAACACTCGGATTGTGCAACAGGAAGTGCAAGTGATGTCACACGCCCCATTCATCCCGTAACTATGCAATGCTCAGTAAACAACTGAGTTAATATGGGCCACCGTAAAAAATTGGGTTGCTCAAAATAATATCGCATTTAAAATGGATGACGTCATTAAACTGGCAGACTAAAAATAGGCTTCCAAAACTGCAGAAGAATGGCAACGTAGGTGCCAACATGTAAGGAACATTGAATAACAATTAATGGCATGGGAAGGCCTTTTGGACGCAGGATGGGAGTTCGTCTTCCATTTTGGCGGTGATAGAGATGACAGTTCTGATGATAGCTCCAATTCATCTGGTGGTGACGAGAAAGGACAGGCATGTGGAGATGATATCTATGCAGACATTGCCGGTGTTGCCTCTTTAGAACAGACCCATGTTATACGTAAATATACTCTTAATGTGTGAGGGTAATTCCAAAAGTAAGGTCTCCTATGTTTGAAAATATAAAATAAACATTTATTTTCAATTTTGGATACATCAGTTGAATCTTGAATATGTACTCATTTCTCTACATAATCGCCATTTTGGTCGATGCATTTTTGTAGGCGCAGTGGCAGTTTTCGTATGCCCATGTCATACCAGTTCACCTCCATGCTGTTCAGGAAACTTCGAACCTCAGCTTTCACCTCATCGTCATTGTTGAAGCGCTTTCCAGACAAATGTTCTTTCAACTTTGGAAAGAGACAGTAGTCACTGGGCGCCAAGTCCGGACTATAGGGTGGATGGGTGATGATGTTCCATCCAAACTGTTGCAGTTGAGCGATGGTTTGTCGGGCAGCATGGGGGCAAGCGTTATCGTGGAGAATGCTTACGCCCTTGCTCAACATCCCTCTTCTCCGGTTCTGAATCGCCCGCCTGAGTTTTCTCAGTGTCTCACAATATCTCTCAGCGTTTATTGTGGTCCCAGTTTCCATAAAGTCAACCAACAATACCCCGTTTCGATCCCAAAACACAGTTGCCATGACTTTACCGGCAGACTGTGTTTGCTTGAATTTTCGAGGCTTAGGCGAAGAGGAATGCCGCCACTGACGTGATTGTTGTTTTGTCTCAGGTGTGAAGTGGTACGCCCAGGTTTCGTCGCCTGTGACAATTGAATTCAAGAAGTTGTCCTTTTCGTCAGCATAGCGGCGAAGAAATTCACGGGAAGAGTCAACTCTCTGCCGTTTGTGGTCTTCCGTGAGCATTCGCGGGACCCATCTTGCGCACACCTTCCAATAATTCAACTTCTCCGTCAAAACCCGATAAATGGTGGTTCGGGAAACCTCGGGAACCGAAATGCAGAGATCATCGAGTGTGATGCGCCTATCCTGACGCATGACTCGCTCAATCTTCGCGACTGTCTCGTCAGAAATTGACGGTCTCCCAGTTCTTTTTTCGTCATGTATTGCAGTACGATCAGATTCAAACTCCCTACACCACTTGCGGACGTTCTTTATGTCCATGCACGACTCGCCATACACTTCCACCAATTGACGATGAATTTCAATTGGTTTAGTCCCTTTTGCGTTCAAAAACTGAATAACTGCGCGAATCTCACACTTCGCGGTTTTAGTAATCGGGAGCTCCATTTCTAATGGCAACCATGCCAAGACTGAGCATCCTAGCTACGTGCGCGCATTCTTGGTGGTATTGGGGGGAGTGGGGGAAGCAACGAATGCAACAGGGTTGCCAACAGCCGCATGAAAAATTACCCAGCGCTTTGGAGACCTTACTTTTGGAATCAGCTACGTATGTATATAACAGTGAAAAATGTATAGTAGTGTAAAGTGCATAATAGCCTGCCATTCGGCACTTAAAACTTAACACTGGATGTGTGAGCATCAATGAGACTAAACCACCATCACTATGCAACACAATGAGGTAAGAAGTTATTTCCTTTTGAGAATGCATCTACTGCATTCCCCGCCACACTTGTCAGCATGCTGGAGCTCTCCCTGCCACTACAAATACATCTCCTACTCCGCGTCGGAGGGCTGTCAGCTCTAAGTACTACAACTATACATGTACCTATAGTGAATATAACAAAATTTCACAAAGGAGTGTATATATCAGGAATTGAAGTTTTCAATCATCTTCCTCAACCAATAAAAAATTTGGCCAATTATGAGAAATGTTTCAAATCGATATTGAAGAGGTTTCTGTATAATCATCCTTTTTATTTTATAAATGAATATTTTCAATACAAGGATGACAGAGTCGGTAATCTTGATACATTTTGTACAGTTTTTAACGTGTAACTTATTATGTTGTTTTAACCTTTGTCTTTTCTGTCATCTTACCTGACGGGTGTACATCTTACTGGATTTGAGGTGCTCAGCTGATTGCCTGTATCAATAAGTAACCGTACTAGGACCGAAAATATCTACAATGTCATCTTCAGTTATTTTATTTCATAAGATAGATGTAATTATGATATTTTATACTTGTGTTTGTTAATTGAACTTCTAATATACTTTAATATTGAAATTTTGTGAAATGTATATGTTATGGTTGTGTTGTGTAATGGGTTGCAATTCAATCGAATATAACTTGAACAATTTCCACTTTTTTGTGGTTTGATTATCACTATGTATAATTTCGTTTTATGACTGTTCTGTATGTGACTGAGTTATATTTTATGAACTGTTCTTGTGTACATTTTGATTTAATAGTGACTTGTTCTATATTCTAGGCTTAGGCCAAAAANATTTATTTTGGGGGGGGGGGGACCACTCATCCATAGTACAATTTCCTCTAATTTATTTTTTAATCTATCCATATTTAATATAAGATACTCCCTGATTCTTTCAACATTTATGTGGTCAAGATAAACCAAGAACTATTCATTTCCTACACAGGTAATGCCTTGTGAAAGGTATATTGTATGCACATCTTTCTACAAGTTGTTTCTAGATGACATTTTTGTCACCTTCAAAATCCTAAGAGGAAACCAAATTCCTGTTTTGACACCAATCAGTATTTGAAGTTATCTATATCTATCTTTCTGGAATGTAAACAACTGACTACATAATACTAAATTGCTTTGTTGTATTACATTTTATTCCACTTCCTGATCTGCCTCTTAAAGCAGATTTCATTTTATTGCACAGAAAAATTCCTTTTTTTATTTTTAGCACTACTATGGAATATCCATTTGTTCATATATTTCACAGTAGTAACCACAGTGTCACAGAAAGTTGACTTTACTTTACTTTACGACATCACACATTTTAAGCATGGAGATATAGGAAAGAACTCACAGATTGCCCCCGAGTATAATCAGCTTTAGTGTGCATGGAGCTGGTCTCATCATCCAGCAGGTTTAACTCTGTCTCCTCCTCATCGATACGACTAGAACCCTTCTCACTGCCTTCACACTGTGCCCCACCTGAAGATGTGCCCTCTTCACTGCCCCCTCCTGCCTCAGACTGCAAAAAAGATTACAGCAATATTCAAATGGCAGGATCTTCCACATCCAAACACTATACCTATGCTGCTCAACAGTGATATTAGCTATCTTTGATATTTCTCCCTATGTCCAATACAAGCAAATACATTAGAAGTCTAAATTGTTAGAACCCTTCTGAATGCATAACCTCCACAACCTATACTTCAGTATTAAGATTAAAAATCTCAGAACACGACAATAATGCACAAATATTTCTTCAACACCATTAGTTTGTGACATTCAATAATTAAATAACTGTTCATTAAATAAAAAAACACATACAAGTATCATCAAAGTTATGCAATAGATACATTTCCAAGAGCAGGCATGTAATTCAAAATTATTTTTCCTGGAAGCAATAATGTCATAAATAGAGGCTGCTTAGCAGGAAATCTGTGGAATTCATTTTTCTACATGGAAAGAAATTAATTGTCTTCTAGTTTGCTGCCCAAAAACAAAAATTAGAATATGTGGTTCGACAATATTAAAATGGATCTTAGAGAGATAGGATGGGATGATATGGATTTGATTTATCTGGCTCAGGATATGGACCAGTGGAAGGCTGTTGTGAACATGGTAATGAACCTTCGGGTTCCATAAAATGCTGGGAAAGTCTTGAGTAGCTGCAGATTTTGCTTCTCCTCAAGAAGGGCTCAGCTCCACAAGTAATAAATAACAATGCACTCTTTGGAAGTGCTGACAGGTTGATTCTCTTCTATTGCGAAAAGTGTGATGTTGGTCTGTGTGTCGAGGACTACTACGACCAGTGGCACACGCATGTCAAGTGTGAGAGCACTGAATGGACTTAAGTGACTGTGAAGTGACGCAGTTCACAGTTGCGTACAGTCTGAACAAAGGATTATTGTATACAGTATGATTATTTTTTACAAANTGCATAGAATGGAAAATTTGTTGTGTTTTCTGAAAGTCTGCAATTTTAAAGACTTAGGGCCATTTAAATTCTGGCTGCAGCAGGATTTTGACAATTTAAGAGTCTGTACTTCAAAGGTTTAATAAATTGTGACATGTCTAACCGTTGCTGGGCAACAGGAGGTGGCACAAGTTACCACACAGACAGACCCTTGATAAATGGTCAGTTGCCAAGTTACACAACAGTAAGGAAAGCTGTGTTTCTCCAAGCCGTGCCGAGCAGAGCTGAGCCAAAGCGAGCTGGTTGCTATGCAGCAATAAACAACTCTCGGCAGCGTTCCCCAGCAAAGCCTGTAAACATGACGATTATGCAACAGTAAAGCGAGGTGGGTTTTCCACTGTCCGACTGAGGGTTTACAAGGGAGACTGGAATGCATAAGCAGTTAGTTGAAATGTAGCAGCTGCCGAAGCCAGTTAGTATTTGGAGCATTCGGCGGAGTTAATATCTACCAGTCGCCGGGTTCAGTTGTAGCGAGTGAATTGTGATAGTGATGAAGAAGCGTCTAGAGGACCTTGTAAGTGACAATAATTGGGACACTGTAAATTGTGTAAGTGTAAGACAGTGTGGAATAAATTTGCTAGAATCAAGACCGGTGTGAAGTTATTTGTCACATGACATACCCAACACATGACAATTTGGTGTCAGAATTGTTTACGAACTTGAACACGCCACAAGTTACAACGAATTATACTCCCACATGATGGAGATGGAAAAATTGTTCGACCGCCTGCTGGAGAAAATAGGAAGTCTGATAAAGAAGATTTCATGGCAAAATTAGATGCCAACCAAGTAAAAGCAGATGCTGCCGAGTGGAGATGCAAGAAATGCTGGCAAAACTAAACACCAATAGAAAGAAAGGCAAAGAAGATTTCCTGGCAAGAATGGATGCCAATATGAAAGCCTGGCGAGAAAAGGTAGACGCCAAAATTAAAGTCTGGCGAGAAGAAATCCGCTTGATGCGGATTGAGACAAAGGATACCCGAAAAGAGATGACAGCCTGCCAAGAGATGGAGCGACGTTTAGAAGAAGAGCCATCCTCAGTGGACTTGAAACCCGAGGTGGCACAAGAAAAAGAGGTAGCTGTACAAGACGCCACAGTGATGCTGGTCAGAAAACCAAAGAAGAAATGGCATAGGGACCAAAAACTGGCCGTGGAGCACCACCGCCAGGAACCGAAGGATACGACACGGGAAAAGTGTGGACCCCAGAAGAAATTGGCCGTCGCCCACAGAGGGATGACATGCCGTGCGAAAGTGGCACGGCAGAATGAAAACTTCATTGGGAGAAACTGCACCAGACCCATGGTCGAATGAGCAACCCAGAGAGTAGTGCCGCACTCAGGAAGAATTTACAGATGTACCATGAAGGAAAAAGAGGAACAGAGGACCGAGGCTGCAAGCAGATGCTGTACGTGAGAAAGAAGAGGGAAACCGTGAACTATATTGAAGGGTGTGGATCAGAACAGCAATCACACCTGGGAAGAGGAGACACGAGCAAGAAGACCGTTGATGAGAATTTCAGAGGAAAGATTGCGAAACAAGTAGTCGTTACTTCGAACAGGTTACGAAAAATAAGAAAATGTACCTTGTGGAGGGGTAGGTCCCCTCCAATATGGAAAAAGAAGCATGAGACATAGGAGGAGCCGGTAACGTAAAAGCGAGAGTGAATGTGCAATGGATGAATGTGATACAACTGGATCTCCTGACAAGTTAGCAGGAAACGTCTTGAGACAAGCTGATCTTAAGAAGGGAGCGGATGTAGTGTTTGAGGAATGGGCAATGGGAAGAAAGGAAATGTTGCAAGAATAGCCTCGGAATGAAAGGACTGGTGATGCAATGTTAGGCTATTCGGCACGAACAGCCTTAAGAAGGGAGCAGTGTGACATGTCTAACCATTGCTGGGCATCGGGAGGTGGAATGAGTTACCACAAAGACAGACCCTTGAAAAATGGTTGGTCAGCAAGTTACGCAACAGTGGAAACGAGGTTATGCAACAGTAAGGAAAGCTGTGTTTCTCCGTGCCGTGCTGGGTAGAGCTGAAGTGAGCCGAGCCGAGGTGAGTTGGTTGCTACGCAGCAATAAACAACTCTTGGCAGCATTCCCCAGCAACGCCTGTAAACACAACGTTTACACAACAGGTGAAGCATCGAGTATTATACTGCCACAAAATGGAGATGCAGCAGATGATGGAGTTTCTGCTGAATGAATTGAGGGCTGATAGAAAAACCGACAAGAAAGAAATGGAGGCCAGTAGAAAAGCCCGGCGAGAAAAGATGGATGCAAAAACGGAGGCCAATCGAGCAGAAATGAGAGCCAGTCAGGCAAGATCAAAAGCTATGTGATAAGAGATGGCCGCCACATGAAAAGATGGACACCAGCCACAAGGAGATAGTGGCCAAAATCGAACCCAGTAGAGACATAAAGATGATGGCCTGCCGAGAAATGATGGAGGCATGTCTCAAAAATGAGCGAACGTCAGTGGACAGGTGATTTGAGGTGGCCCAACAACAAGTCCCCGTAGAAGATGCCGAAGTAATGCCGGTCGGAGAACCAAAGAAGTAAAGGCATAGGGACGGAAACCAGCGAAAAATGAAGAAACAGACCCAGGGAAAGGATGGGTGCTGAAGACTGGCCGTTGCCCGCAGAGGGACGAGCTGCCGTGTGAAAGTGGCATGGCAAAAGAAAACCGTCAGGAAGGCATCCCGCCATGCAACAGTGGCATGGTGCAAAAGGAACAGCTTCAGGAAATCTTGGACCCAAGGAAAGTGTGGACCGCGGCATGAATTGGTTGCCGACAGAAATATGACTAGCCGTGCCGGTGTGACATGGTGCAAGGGAAATTTCATAAAGAAATATTCAACCAGGGTCAATGCTGAACAAGAAACCTGGAAAGGATGAACAGAGGAAAATAGACGCTGGAAATGCAAAACGAGAATAAAGGTGCCAACCAAGAATGCTATTGGAGGGTGTAGATCAGGACAGAGATTGCAACTAGAAGGTAGAACTCGTAAGAAGACCATCTATGAGACTGTTAGCGTGAAGATCAGAAAGCGAATAGTCAGATCTTCTGTCAGCCTATGACAAGACAAGATTGGACCTTGTGGAGGGGTCGCCCCCTACAAAACGGAAAAAGAGACTGCATGCAGAGGAGGAACCGGTAATGCAGAAACACTGATCTCCCCAGCATGAATGAGGAAAGAATGAAGGTGAGGAGTGAATGTGATACAACGAATCGACAAATGCTGGACCATTGAATTGTTCAGGACAAACAATCTTAGAATAGTCACTGCATGAGGGGTAGCCAAACCAAAAGAAGACGCAGCATGCACGGCCTTGAAAGAAAAGGAATGGGGATGTACCATTAGGCTGTTCGGGATGAACAACCTTTAGAAGGGAGCAGTGTGATGTGGATGGCGCAACAGGAAGTAGGGGTCACATGAACTCTGCGTTTCCACAAGTGACGCCAAGTACCCCCACTCCTCCCATCATTATGCAACACTCAGTAAACACCCCTCCATGCTAGGCTGTGACGTCACGAAATAAGGCGGGTCTGTGCAGCGACTATTGCTAGGCAATGCGTAGGTAGGAACACCTGACACCACCTGATATCTGTTGCCGAGCAGCAATGTGTTCTCTATGTTGTCCGTGCCGAGCCTAAATAAGGACCAGCGAACACTAATCAAGAGTAGTGAGTATTGAGTTACTAGAGAGATAGATACTAGTATTGAGGATGGAGTGTTCAGTATGAATTGAAGTCCATTGTTATTGAGTTGTATCAAGTGAAGGGAAGTGACTACAGCAGGAAAAGTAATTGTGATACTGCAGATGGCAGTAATTGTGAAATTGTGAAATGTAAAACTGTAAGAGTGAATGTGGAATAAATTCGCTAAATCCAAATGGCATGAAGTTATTTGTCGCGTTACATACCCAACACATGACAATATTAACATTAATATTAATATAATAAGGAAAGGCATAACTGGAAAACATTTCACAGAGTTTCAGTGAGCAGGTTAGCTTAAAGTTTAATGTTTCTGACTTGAACTTAGGAGGTACCTAAGTTGAGTATTGGCTGCGCTATCCTGGCAGAGACCTTCTCTTTAATTGGAAATAAACCAAAACTATTTTATTCCAATCCCATCCTGTTCACCACAAAACACACTTTTAATTTCCTGTCAACTGCTTATACTGCAGCATTAAGTAATTTACGAATCAACCATACACACCACAGTCTTGGAGCCTACAGACTCATTGCGACTGTGTGGCCTGAAGCCAGGACCTGGAGGTAAGTTCTTCTGAACACAGCAGTTGACCCCAGGACTGAAGTGAAGTTCCACATGAAACCTACGATACAAAACAAAACACATGAATCCATTATGAAAACAACTATATATTATCACCAATTATGCCAAAATTTACAGATGCATTTAAATATGTTCACATCATATAAAATTCCATCTCTTTGTTTTTACCACTTTCTGCTACAAATAAATGTGTTTATCAGTGTTGAGACTTCTTATGGCACCTTGCAATTCCATAAATCTAAACTCACTGATGCCATCAGAATGCTGACAAATAAAGAAATGCCTTACTTCAGCTAGATACTGGGAAAAAGGACTAATTAAATATCATCAACTCTTATGCTTGCCAAACAGCTATCTGGATGCATCTCCATATTCTTCTACCAATAAACATATTAGTTTGGAGAATTCAGTAGACTCAACTCATTCTGACCAATATGTCCAGATAATCATTAAAAGATTCCCAGGGGCTTTCGGCATTTTCAAAATGGGCAGCACACAGGCTTACTTCATCTCTATTGACATTGTACTTCTTTTGGCTTATTTTGGACTTCACCCATCATCTGGTATATAAAAGACAAAAAAACCAAGACGTTTCAGAGACTGGATCTGTCTCCAAAATGTCGTGTTTTTTTTTGTCTTTTATATACCAGACGATCGGTGAAGTCCAAAATAAGCCAAAAGAAGTACAGTATACACCATCGTCAGAATCCTTTCAAGTCTATCTACTGACATTGTTTTTGTTAAGAATGTTGGATCTGGCTTACATAAACTGTGGGGGATGGTGATAACAGCAACACAATACTTCTGTGCTGATGAGTACATCATGTGATAAATAATGTTCAGTTCAACATTTTCAGTAACATCACATAACAAATACTGCGCTGAATGTATGAGAGTACATGGGATCTGTATGTGCTCATACATATTGAACAAATTCTTAAAATTGTGAGGTAAGTCAGGGATGATGGAACTTGTTACCCATTCTGTTTCCTTGCAATTTACATCAGCAAACATTACTTATCTTGGACCAGTAACTGAACGAGACGTTTGGAGAATCAGAGCTAACCTAGAAACAAAGAATTATATGAAACCCCTGAGGTGATAGCAGATATTAGTCTGTTGTGTGGGAATGGCTGGGTAAACATATTTCTGTGGAAATGGACACACATGCAACAGTGGAGGAATTGTTGGGAGTGATGTTTTCTGTGGGGTCTGTCCCGAGGTTATATGGTGAGCATGAACGAGACTAGTTAGTTGAGAGTTCACAGTTGGGGCAGGGTTAGTTGGGAGAGTCACCAGTAGGTAAGGATGTGAACACGAAAGATGAGGAATCTGCATTTTGGGGAGCCATAAAGTTGCAATGGCTAATGATGACAAACTGAGAAAACTTAATGTGTGTTGTAGTGATTCACAGTGCATGTGAATTAATGAGACTGTTATAATTACATATAAAAAGTAAACGGATCCCTGTAACAGGCCGTGGAGGCCTATAGAGTTGTGAGATGTTGAGGTTCCCACATTTTCTAGACAATCGGCTCATAAGTGGCAGTAAGGTTGTCAGCCTTATGTGCCGGCTGCCCTTTACCCCCAAGAATATTCCAACATTCCTGGTACTAATTTCTGTTAGAGGCTGAGTCAACCCCAGGGCCATGGTGTGGCTGGAAGGATTAGGTCAATTGAAAAACAATCAAATGACCTCATCGGGACTTGAACCTGAGACCTTCCGGCTTGTAGCATAGTGCCTTAACCAACTATGCTACCGCGTGCCCCATAATTACTTTTAGTTACAATTTATAAGTGTTCAATAAATCCAATTACCACTCCAAACCCTGAATCAAGTCACTAACACATTACAATATTAAAAGAAGACTGAAGAGGTTGGGTGCTCTGACCGGATCAAACAAAGGTGGTAAGAAAATTTCTGAAAGTGAGCTGGGAGGAAGAAGAAGAGTGGGAAGGCGTGAGACAGTTGAAGATGTAGAGATGCCTTTATGAAGGTGGAATGTGAAAAGGAAAAATGCAAATAAGAGAGAAGAATGGACATCTCCCATAAAGGAGGCCAAGGTTCTTTGAGGAATGCAGAGCCAAGGAGTAAGTACATAAGTAAATATACTGATCTTAGTACATAAAGCAAATTCTTGTGATACATACAGATGAATCTGACAGGACACTTTCACATGCCTATTTTAAGCAGGAACATTATTATTCAAACCCAGAATGTGACAGCACCTTTCTTCAGAGCAAGGGTCCTTGGTGGGGTCCTCATACAACATGACGACGATCTGTGACATATAGTTGAGTTCTGACACCATGCTTACATATTCCATTGCTCTGCGCCATTGCTCATCTTTCTGCACCTGCAAAGCATTATGCATGTGAGGTCACAACAGAACTCTCTCACACAGCAGTGATTACAATTCTACTTAGAACTGACAAAATGACTCACATCAAGTAGACCACCATAGCGCAGCACAGTAAGAAGTGAGTGAACATGACTTTCACTGGTGAAATACAGGCGTGTCCGCACATGTCGTCCTGGGCTTGATACGCCATGTGAATAACTGGAAAACACTTCGTATGTTACTACAACTACAATAAAAGGACATTTCACAGCATTCAAAAACATTCACTGAAGAACTGCAAGAACATTTGAAGACAGGTTTGTAAATTTGGACAGTAAGTATAGAAATAGGCCACACCATAGCCCAAGCGGTTAGTCGCTGGCTTCCCACCGCGGTGGCTCGGGTTCGATCCCGGGTCTGGTCAAGTGGGATTTGTGGCAGACAAAGTGGTGTTGCGGCTAGTTTTCTCCGAGTATTTCAGTTTCCCCTGTCAATCTTCATTCCACCAATTGCTCCACAATCACCCTCACCTATCATCTGGGGCTGGTACAATAGGCTAGAAGTGGCTGCGGTACAAGGGACTTAGTCCCACACCACTAGCAATAAAAAAAAGTACAGAAATGCAGCAGCCAGGGACATAAAAATTCAGCACTAAATTTACAAGAATTTTATGATACTTTTATTTTATAAATAAGTGGATATACAAATAGCATATTATTATTAGTCAGCTATTAAATGTATATGGGGTTAACAGGTAGATTGAAATGCAGTTAGCCAAGCCATAAAAGCGTGACCTTAATTCTTCTGAGGCTGAAACTGTTACTCGAAAATTGAAGTGCTATAAATCACCAGGAACTGATAACATTCCATCACAATAGATTGAAGGATGAGGTAAAACATTACATTCTGAAACCTACAAACTTATTCATTCTGTCTGTAATAAGAAAGAAATGTCACAGCACCGAAGAGACTCCATTATTAAACCTATTCTTATGGGAGGATAATATAAAAAGGGTTCTTACAGAAAAGTGTGTGGACCTAACTCATTTCACTCAGGAGACAATTCAGCAGAGAACTCATGTGAACACAGTGATGAACCTTCAAGTTCAAAAAAGTTCAGGGAAATTCTTGACTAGCAGATTGACCACTTTTTCAAGAACTGTGACCACTGAGTTAGTTACATGTGTGCTAAACGGGTTAATATTTTGGCAGTTTCAATACATTATATCAATTAATGTTCCTCACCGTGGATTCAATCTGTTGACAGTCTCCTCTCCAGACTCCTCAATGTTGCGCTGCAGGTCAGCACGTATCTTCTTCAGCAATGGTGTACAGATTCCCTGTCCAATTGTCAACTTCTCCTGCACCGTAAGCCCATACTCCTAACAGGAATGAAAGTCAGGACAAGTTACAAGTTATTTTTAGACTTGTATGAAGTACAAAGGTGGATGGTTCTACCTGGGATAATAGGGCCATTAGAAAATCATGTGTAACAATGGGTAGTGAGAGAAGAGGTGCAGTACTTGTTAAATCAGAAACCATTAATATCTGTAGATTATAAACGGTTCTGACGATGGTGTATAACACATAGAATTACTTTACTGGGTCTTCTCTAGAACAGTGTTCCGCAACCGGTGTGCCGTCACAAGGTGAAAGGTGTGACATGAACTTTTACCTATTGTAAGAAATTAACTGTCGAATTGTATTCGTTTTATTTTATCCCAGTTACTGTGTTTCATATGCTTGTATTTTATTCTCAGCCACTGCACTGATTAAATAAGATGATGCTTGTTTATTCTTTATTACACGCCATGATCTTTTATGTACAGCAGTGTTGTATTCTAAGAAATTATATGAAAATTATTTACTCACACTTGTTGTTACATCATAGTTTTCATTATTGATTTATTTTTATTTTTTTTACATCTACGTGGCTTCTTTTATATACTTACTGCATGTTCTGTGTACGTCCTTTTCCCTAAAACTGCAGGGATTAGCAAGGGTTTCCTTGTCTTTTATAACGCTGTTTTGGTGTTTGCCCCTGTTTGTTAGAAGTTAGAGCTTCTTCAACATTATGACTTTCTTCCTGAAACGATGCACCCACCGATTGTTGGACATCATTTAAAATTATAAATATTTAAAAAATAAGTCAGTATATGTGTCGCATCTTCCATTTGAAGAGTAGAGATCTCGCATTTTAAATTGTTTCAGTTCTATCACAGCTGTGCTCTGAAGTAGTTCGAAAATTGTGGTTGCTAGTTAGTCTTGCTATTTTCTATTACTATTACACTACTTTATTTTTTCAAGATGGATAATACAGAGTGTTTCCTCCATGAGTGCAAGTAGTAAAAGCATTGAGCCCGAAAAAAAAGAAACAAAAATTAGTACACTGGCAGTATGGTGATAATTACTTATCTTACGTTTTTTTTTGGTGTGGTGATAAAATGTGCCCAATCCCCGAGTGTATCGTTTGTGGTGAAAAACTCAGTAATACTGCTATGGTTCTCAGTAAATTGAAATGACATTTGTCAACAAAACATTCTTCTCTAACAAGCAAAGGTGTCAATTATTTTCGTCGCTTGTTGGAACAAAACAGAAAACAAAGAACGTTACTGACTGCGGCAGTATATGTTTCAGAGAAAGTACAGGAAGCAAGCTATAAGGTAGCCGAAATTATCATAAAGGCCAAAAAACCACACACAATAGCGGAAACGTTGTTAATGCCTGCTTGTAAAGAGATGGTGAAAATAGTCCTGGGTTCAGAAGCTGATAGTGAAATTTCAAAAATTCCTCTCTCTACTGACACAATCAGTCGCCGAGTTATTGACATGTCCACTGACATTGAAGCCATTATGAAGGAGAAAATCAACAGCAGTCAGAAGTTCTCGCTTCAGATCGATGAGTCCACCGATATTAGTGGCCACGCACAACTTCTTGCTTACATTCGATACATCGATGGAGATGTAATTGCAACAAATTTAATTTTTTTGCAAAGAACTTCCCGAGCGAGCCACCAGTGAAGAAGTATTTCGTGCCACTAATGAATATGTGTTACGTAATGAATTAAGATGGAAGGATTGGGTTAGTGTTTGTACAGACGGAGCCGCTTCTATGACAGGCTGTGTTAAAGGATTTGTAGCTAAAGTATGCAAAGTAAATCCTAACATACGATGCGATCATTGTCTCATTCACCGCGAAGCCATTGTTGCTAAGTCTTTGCCATCTTCTCTGAAAGTTGTGCTGGACGAAGTAGTAAAAGTCGTGAACCTCATCAAATCGCGGCTTTTTTCCGTTTTGTGTCAGGAAATGGAATCAGAACACACTACACTCCTACTACATACAGAAGTATGGTGGTTATCATGAGGAAAAGTGTTGATGCGAATATTTGAACTTAATGAGGAGGTGCGTGCATTTTTGACTGTTGAGGGGCATGAGTACGCGAATTTATTTGCAGATGATGAATGGATAAGTAAGTTGGCATATCTTTCTGATATTTTCGTACACTTGAACGAGCTGAACAGAAAGATGCAAGGTAGGAATGAAAATATTCTAACTAATACGCATAAGATACAAGGATTTGTAAATAAGCTGAATTTGTGGATACAGAGAATTACAGATGAGTCGTTTGAGATGTTCCTGACTGTATGGCCACTTACTGATGGCAATAAAGTGGTGATGGAAATTAAGACATCAAAGAGGGAGCAGCTCAAATCCATCGATGAAGAAATGAGACTTGCATTGTCAACGATTCCACCACAAATCAGGTGCCTGTGCGCAGCTACGCAGGCGCAAGTATCACATTGAGAGTATGAGTAGAATTACTGTATTTACTTTAATAGCAATACAAGTGAATTTTCCACACTCTACAGTGAATTAAAGTTCATTAATTGTCGATTTTTGTCTAATGATAATAAAATAACAATGTAATATTATAATAATAAGTTGATTGCCTTACGTATTTATATTATTTGTCTGATATCAAGCGCTTTTGAGGGGAATAACATTTTGGTGTGCCGTGCTGAGTCATGGATACCTCATGGTATGCTGCGAGTAGAAAATGTTGCGGAACACTGCTCTAGAAAACCAGATGATGGGGGAAGGTCCTAAAACCCAGTAATTCTGTGCACTAATATTTGTCTTACAGTCAACTTATCCAGCTCATTGAGGTTTGTGGTTCTCACAGGAGTGGCTATGAGGAGTACTATCTTCTGGGATGTGACACCATGTAGTCTTGTAAATCTTTACCAATGTTCTGGAAGCAAGTACTGCCTCCATCTTGAGTTGCTGCTTGCTACCTGCCTGTTTGACCTGAAGATGGAAGCAGTATGTTCCTCGAAAACATCAGCTAAGTTCTATTAAACTAGATGGCATCACACCCCAGGAGAAATGCTTCTCCTGCTCTGTCAGAGCAACACGTTATTTGTAGGGACTGCTAANCATACAGCTTTGAGAGTAACTTACAGAGATATCTTAGCAGTGAAGAAAGCAGTCTTCTGGGATTTTGCACCGTGTATATGTAGTGTTAACCGACGTTTCGGAGGAACGTATCGCCTCCATCTTCAGGGTAAAGGAAAAATATAAGAAATCTGGTCTCTTCGCTTGCGGATTTCTTATACTTTTCCTTCTACCCTGAAGATGGAGGCGATACGTTCCTCCGAAACGTCGGTTAACACCACATATACACGGTGCCAAATCCCAGAAGACTGCTTTCTTCACTGCTAAGATATCTCTGTAAGTTACTCTCAAAGCTGTATGAAACAAAAAGGAAGTGACAAAAGAGGCAGAACATGCACTGGGGCATATGGCTGCTGATATAACCTGTAATACCATGAATAACAACATGGATGAAAACAAGATTACAGACTTCTGTAAATGGCTTCACAGCAAGATAAAGTCGCTTTGCGTAGGCAGACTCACCAATGTCTAGAATGGCAAATATACCTGTGGGATGACAATGTCGGCCAAATATTTGGCATTAATATATAACTCTTCAGCTTGTTCAAACTGTAGTGTGTGCTGGTTGTGCTGCAGGTCATACTTTATGCAGTCATAGATGTCAGGGATCTTGGAGATGTCAAAAGTTTTGTTCTTTGTGCAGAAATCCTTCTCAATCTTGCCCCAGCGTCTTCCCATCAATTCCCACGTTTCCCCATGATACAAAACAGCATCTACAAAGCACAACAAGATTCTTTTGAAGAATATTAATAATCTTTGCCACAGTGCACCACCTTGGTAGTGGTGGTGGGTGTGGCTTTGTTGTGGTGGCAGTATAAGTGTACTATTATCATTAAATTCCAGAATGATAATATTCATAAAAGTTCAAGTTAAAAAATAAAAGGATTTGCACATCTCTATCGCACAGTTTTGTTTGTACTGAAATGTTTTGTGTTCAGTGTCCAATCCTGTCTCAAATGGTGTTTCCCAACTGGACAGGTATGAAGTACCTTTGGTCTTGGGATCATCCTTCTTGATTCGCACAATATCCATCAGACGTTGAATTAGGTCCTGCACATGCTCACAGCATTTCACTGGATTCTTAACAAAGTCTAATGCAGTGGAAATGCTCAGTGCATTTCCAGGATTGATCTTTTCACGGTCCTCTGCTGTGAAATCTCTATCCTGTTGCATCAATTCATGCAGGCGAGACTTTGCCCTGCACAGAACAAAAACCAAGAACACTGACAGGATTCTACTATTTTTAATAAATGAAGGGTTAAAATTAACAAGATTACAATTAAACATGTTTATAAAATGACATTAATATAATTTTTTTTAATGCTAGGGGGGTGGGACTTAGTCTCTTTGTCCACCACAAATCCCACTTGACCAGACCCAGGATTGAACCAGGGCCGCTGCGGTGGGAAGCCAGGGACTAACCGCTTGAGCTATGGCGTGGCCACATTAACATATAAGTAAAAATGTCTTACTTACTGAGATATTCATTTCCATAAATTATTTTTCTTACACAAACACTGACCTATGGTAAAAAAGTTAAAGCTATCACCATAACTGGCCGTGGGGGCCTGTGAGACACTGAGGCCCCCACATTTTCTAGGCAATCTGTTCACAGATGGTGGTGAGGTTGTCAGCCTTATGCACTTACCGCCCTTTACTCCCAGCAAGATTACTGATATTCATTTCTGTTAGAGGCTGAGTGGAAACCAGGTCCCTAAGACAGCTTGAATAATTAGGCCAATTGAAAATTCCAGTGAACTCACTGGGAATCAAACCCACGACCTTGTGACTTGTAGCATAGTGTCTGAACCATGCTACTGTGTGCCCCCTGACCAATGGTAGAATAAAATAAATGTTCTACCTACTCTGAACAGTCTACTTGTCTTGATAACATTCTACTTCACTAAGAAGCATTTTATTTCTATTCTTTAACCTTTAACGGCCAAATGTTATATATATGCGCAGCAAGCAGCACCCGAGTTGGCCGAATGTTATATATATATGGCAGGACATGTGCTCTCTTTGCGAGTGCTAACAGTTTGACCTTGGGTTTGAAACCAAAACAAATGCTTGTAAGGTCATGTCAGCGGTTCATTCCTTAGCTCTGAACAATGAAATCCTTTATCACGATACTGGTTTTGATACTATTAACGTTTAGATATGACTGTTTATGACCTGCTCAGCCAAATATAGCCCAGCTTTGTTTCGTGAACTGATGAGGAAATATTCATTGACGCTTGCATATGAGTGCTTCCAGAGCCTTCAAGGAAGTCTGACGCATTCAAGGATTGGTTTTCAGTGGCGAATTATCAGTTAGAAAGTCAGTGTCAGACTGTCATATATTTCTTTGTATATCATTTTTATTTTGGGTCTTGGAAGAGGTATAAACCTACTGAGCCAGTATTACTTTGTGAGTAAAAGGCATCTTCACCACTGTGACTTTCGGTATCAGTGTCGGACTGGCACTCTTTTTGACTAGTATTATAATTACTTTGCATCACTATTTTGCGAGTATTACTAACAGGTGAGAGTGTCACTTTGTCAATCATCATAATTTATTCAATTTTGCTAGAACCCCCTTCCTCCAAGATAATCCTTCAATTGGGCAAGGCGAATATCACGGTCAGTGGCATTTCTCGGTGGGAGGCCAAGGTTATCTGGGGCCCAACTGAGTAAACTGGAGGTGAAACATTCAAAACACTGGCCAACCAAAGAGAAACAAAGACGTCGTGTGTTTCACTAAATAAGAAAAGCAGGAGCAGGCTCTTCTATTGTAAAAAGTGTGATTTTGCTCTGTGTGAGGTGGAGTGCTTTGAGAAGTGCCACACGTGTCAGTGTGAATATCGTAGTGAAGTGACTGTGAAGTGACACAGTTCAAACTCGCGTACAGTAATATTATTGTATATAGTGTGATTATATTTACAATATCACTAAGTCTCAAAGATGAATATAACAAGGCAAATATCACGGTCAGCGGCATTTCTCAGGGGAGGCCAAGGTTACCTGGGGTCCAACTGAGTCTACTGGAGGTGAAACATTCACAACACTGGCCAACCAAAGGGAAACAAAGATGTCATGTGTTTCACTAAATAAGAAAAGCAGGAGCATGCTCTTCTATTGTAAAATTTGTGATGTCACTTTGTGTGAGGTGGACTGCATGTCAGAGTGTATCATAAACTGTGAAGTGACGCAATTCAAACTCGTGTACAGTCTGAACAAAATATTATTGTATATAGTATGATTATATTTACAATATCACCATGATTCAAGGTTGAAGAAAAAATAACGGGTAAGTCCTTGGGAATTTCATAACATATATAATAAAGATTATATTTTGCACTTCATGACAAAATAATCACAGTTAATTTTCGTTAGTAAAAATTGCTTTTTTGTGTATATGTAGAAAATTGTATTGTCTTTCAGGTTGTTTTTAGTTTATGTTTCTATGTTGCATAGAATGGAAAATATGTATTTTTTTCTGAAAGTTTGCAATGTTAATTAATTAGAGCGATTTAAATACCGACCACAGAGGGCTGCCAGCAATTTAAAAGTCCATACATTAAAGGTTAACCTCTACTTGCCTTCCAAAAGTTCTGATAAACAAGGCTCTGTATAAATTAATATGAAAGAGTTGTAACAGAGCACTTTCAATTGTACAGGATTATTGATTAAGGAAACAGTGTGGGAGTGGATTTACTGGGCTTGGGATACAGACCAGTGGTTGGCTCCTGTGAACACAATAACGAAACTTCAGATTCCATAATGGGTGGTGAAATTCCTCACCAGGTGAGCAACCATTAGTTACTTAAGAATGATTCTCCTTCATGTGAGTTTAGTAATCACATTTGTTGTTCAGGTGTTATTGTGTGAGATTATGATTTATTAGTTTCATTTAGTTACTCACTCCTCAGACTAGTGAATCAGCTCTTGCTGTCTATCTACGAACTCATATTAAACATATTCCTAACCATTGTTCTTATCAGGACATGTTTTCACTTTGCAGTATGAGAATGTGAAAAGCCACTGTGATAATGAATCCATTTAACACGGGTAAAATTAAGACACCAAAAATTTGACAGTAAATACTTCCTAACTACCATCATACAGTAAGAACATATTTTAATCTCTCTGTGAAAACTGGTATATGCCATGCTTATGAGAATTGCATAGAACTGATAAAAATAATCAAAAAACTCAAAATAACAGTTAAAGATAATCCTGAAAAATTAAGAAAAAAAGGACTTGCAAAGTAGACAGTGTACACTTAGCAGGGCCATTTGACAAAAGGAATTATAAAATAAATAGTTAAAATATGACCAATTCTTGCTTCATAGCAAGCTAATATTCAATTCAGATGCCATGATTCACTGTTTTTTGTTACTTATTCAAAATGGTGAAAAGTCAAGACTATAGGACTGGTTTGTGTATAAGAAGTCTACATATTATGTAATTCAAGGGATAGTTTTCTGTTGAGACATCCTTTGCATTTGCAAATGGAACCTACATGTTTTGGTACTTGCTGGAATCACAGTCATTATCCAGGAGTCCATTTGTGTTGGCTGACTTCACCATTTGCACCAGGATTGGCGTCAGCTCTCCCTCCAAAGCGAGCAGTCCCTTTGCAAATGCTGCAGCTGTCATTTGGACACGACCTTCATCTGATGCATATATTTTAAGATCATGGCGAAACGTAGAGTGAAGGCGAAGAAGGCCCAGGCCTTGTGTACCAGCGTATTCACCTGTACCAACCACATTCAATGCACATTCCACAATAATAATAACAAAAGATAGTATGAGTAACTTAAGAACAGAGAGAAACCTGTCATGAAAGATTCTGAAACTTTTGCTTATCTTTACAGCTCAACAATGTGATGTAACCGTATTTTCATCCTTTGTCATTTTAGTCTGCCTCTTGCCAAAATAAAGAAAGAAAAGAAAAGCTGCCTTGTAAAGTGATACATCCTTCATGCCTCAATCACTTTCTCATGCATTAACTGGCCAATTTATATGAAACCTGGCAAATTGGCCAAGTTCTTGGATGACATACATTTATAAAAATCATGTATTGCATTGTAAGAATCAAATATACAAGGCACAACAAATTTACAGTAAAAAAAATTGTGCTATTTAATGTAGGATATAGAAAATCTGTTTTATTTGAAAAATATGCATCATGAGGCTAGGAGAAACAAAGTGCAGAATTTTAATTCTATTTTTAATGTAGATACAAAAGAAATTGAGTTTTTTTCCAAATAAAGTACCAGTTACAATTACAAGTAGAGATGATAAGAACAAATGCAATATTATGAAAAACAGATGTTTGTAGGAATCATAATCATCATACTGATATGTTGGGTTTTGGACTTTATCCATCGTCCTGGTTTTTAAGATAACAAATAAAAACACGACGTTTCGGAAACTGGATCTGTTTCTGTCCTCAGGTGAAGGAAAACACCTATTCAGTTGGGTCCCTTAGAAAGAGCTAGCCTCAATCACTGGACAAACCAATGTCACAAAACATGAAGATTATAAACACCTGAGACCAGGCTAAGTCCATGAGAGCTAATAAGAAAAATATTCATAACAAATTTTCTTATTAGCTCTCATGGACTTAGCCTGGTCTCAGGTGTTTATAATCTTCATGTTTTGTGACATTGGTTTGTCCAGTGATTGAGGCTAGCTCTTTCTAAGGGACCCAACTGAATAGGTGTTTTCCTTCACCTGAGGACGGAAACAGATCCAGTTTCCAAAACGTCGTGTTTTTATTTGTTATCTTAAAAACCAGGACGATGGATAAAGTCCAAAAACCCAACATATCAGTGTGTTATACACCATCGTCAGAATCCTATAGTAACTACATAATCATCATATTTAACAACAAATTTAAGGTAAACTGTTGACAGTTACAGCCTGAAAATACCAGCAGCTACATAAAAAAGGTGATGGTATTTACAGGCACTTCACAAGTTTAATCCAAATTGAGTTAAACAACAAAATAACAGAGTATGTCAACAGTAATAATTTTTTGGCTGCTGAATTACAGAAATCATAATACAGCAGGTTTTAATTACAGATGTGAACAATTAATTGCATTCTGTGCAATACAACAAAGAAACACAGTGAAAATGAAATGTCTACAAAATAATGTTAATTCTAAGCACACTAAGCAGAAGAAGCTGGAAGCGGCCTCCGTAGTCTAGAGGTAACGTTCCCACCTCATGACTCGTGGTATGCAGGTTCAAATACCCGGCGGAGGTTGTCGAATTTTTAAAGGCGGAAAAATTCAGGGAACAAGTCCTCCGGGAGGGACTTTAAGCCATGTGTCCCGTGTCGTAACTTTACGGCACGTAAAAGAACCTCGTATCTCCAAAGGAGATCACTGAGCCAAATTCCAGGACGTTTCCCGCCCAACAATAGTCTCTAAGGCCTCTGATAGATGGGGTAAGCATATAGACACCGCTAAGCAAGTGGCCGAACTCGCTTGCTCGGCGGGACTGATGGTACACACCATTATCGGTAGGGTATAGAGACTGGTAGAATATCATAGAGGGAAGCACAATGGACCAATACAGGTCTAAGTGCATGGGGAAACCCACGCTCTCCAATAACTAACTAACTAGGCAGAAGCTGACATGGATTATGCCAATAAGGAATACAAGTCAATTACAAGCATATGAAATGAGATTACTAAAAATCAGCTATCTGAATGATATGAACAAATATGTTCATATATAACAAAGGAAGAAACAATAAGAATTTAAACCACAGTACAAATGTACAACGGTTATAAGCAAACCACCTTATAAAATTCTTAAGCATAAAATAACTGGCAAGACATTCTCAGGACAGCCGAAAAGAGAGACAGACTAATAGTGATGACAGGTTGAAAATCTTTAGCATAAAGGAGTGGTAGGAGGAGCAGGAAGAAAAGTGAGGGATATAGAAGAGAACACAACTTCTGGAAAGTCTTTTCATGCCTAAAATGAGATAATTTTGTGTGTGGGATGTGAGGAATCCTGTAAAAAATAAAAATATATGCAACTATAATTTTATATGTGGTTTTGTATGCGTGTGCAATTTAGATCTCCTACCTTAAGTAAGAATTGATTAGACTGAAGATGTTTCAAAATAGGGTGCTGTGGGGAATATTTTCTCTAAGAGTGAGAAGTAACAGAATACGGTGAAAACTGCATATGAAGGAGATTCATAATCTGTACTTTTCACCAAATATTAATTAGGGTGATCATTTCAAGGAAGATGAGATGGGTGGGTCATGTACCACACATACTAGAGATGACAACTACACAAACAATTTTAGTCTGATCTTAAAGAAACTGAATGTGAGAGTGTCAATTTGAATCATGTCTCAGAATCAGGTTCCATGGTAGGCTCCTGCAAAGAGGGTAATAAACCTCTGACATTATCTACAGAGTGAAAACCATCTTGATTACCCAAGCGACTACTAGCATTTCAAAAAGAACACTGTTCTATGGAGTTAGAGTGGCTGGATAGTGTAACAAGGGGTTGATTAATTTGTTCTTGATACCATAATTTGTTTTGTTTAGAACACAAGTGACCACCAATACACTTGGTCGTCGACTTACGACCGACTTCCGTTCTGACTCACAGGTCGTAAGTCTATCTGGTCGTTTGTCAGCCATATATTTATTAGGAGTATTTTTTAACCTTTCTAATCTTTTTATCATCTTTATAATTTATTTTTAAAAACTGTTACATTTTAATAATCATTTATTTTTCATTTCTTTCTGGTCGTAAGTCGACAACTAAGCGTAATGTGAATTCAGAATTTTGAATAAATGCACCATCAACAAAGTAACAAGATAGTTTTCAGGGGTAAGTTCATAAAACAATTCAAATTCTTTAGAAGAAGTGGATAAGTTCCAACCCATTCCCTTTCAGCCATTAGTTATGAGTTAACTGAAGAAATAGCAGCTGTGTAAGTGTATGATCTACATCAGGTTCCGCCACAAAACAATCACCCTTCTAGTGTTTCTACTCGCATACAAAGCAGCAGATAGCTGGCTCAAGAGAGTGACTAGCTACTAAATGTAGATTGAGTGTGTTGGACTACGAACCACTGAGGTGTCTACCTTGGCCACCTGGGTACATGCATCGGAAGATGCGCCCCAGTTCTTCTGCTTGTATACGTCCCGCAGGCGTGAGTTCTCCACCCCATTTGAGGATCAGCACCAATGATGGCTCTTTGGGAGCATCTGTCAACATAACAACACTAAAAAGATAGAAGAAAGGCACAAGAACAAATTTATAAGGACTACAAGTATAATGACATAATAAACACTGTAAAGTTGATGTGTTCCTTTTGAATTATCATGTACCTCTCAATATTCACAATGAAAAGATTACCTGCAGCAGAGTGTCCTGTCTAAAATACGATGGGGTACCCAAAAGAAACCAAATTAATTTTTTTGTGGGCAGAGCTTTTGTAGTACCGCGTTTTGCCACTATGAGCGCATAGAGCTAACATTCCTGAGTCGATAAGCCGACTACCGTTGCTTCAGAAGGTAAGGACTAGTTTCGACAGAGTTTATAGTGACAACTGTTTTGTGTGATTGTCGTTTTTGCAATGGCTGATTTTCATGAACAGCGTGCGGTGGTGAAATTCTGCTTTTTGCTCGGGAAAAGTGGAACAGAAACTCTTGAAATGTTAAAAACGGTGTACAAGGACGATGCTATGGGGAAAACTCAAGTGTTTGAGTGGTTTTCCCATTTCAAAAATGGTGAAATGTCAATTGATGACAAACCTCGTTCTGGTCGTCCTTCCACGGCCCGAACACATGAAAATGTTGAAAAAATTCGTGAAATCATCAAGGAAGATCGATGACGGACCATTGAAGAAATCGTGGAGCTGTCAGGAGTGACTTGGAGCTCAGTTCAGCGAATTTTGACAGAAATTTGGGAATGAAAACAGTGGCTGCAAAATTCATGCCACGACTGCTGACTGCTGAACAAAAACAAGGTCGCGTGGAAGCATGCTGTGCTTTGAAAGAAGAGTCCCGAAATTATCAAAACTTTTTTTTTCGAAAATTAACAGCGTTTTGCTGATGTTGCTGAGGTGAAGGAAAAAACGATGGAGGCGCTGTCAAGCATCTCAAAAGATGAATTTAGACAATGTTTTGAAAAATGGAATAAAAGACTAGACAAGTGTATTAGTGTAAGTGGAGAGTACTTTGAAGGGGATTGAAGGTTTGTGCTTAAAATTTGAATAAATAAGTTAAAAAAAAATAAGTTCGGTTTCTTTTGGGTACCCCCTCATATAAGTTCAGCTCCAGGCTATTTCAAAATGAGAGAAGTTCTTAGTGTCAAGATACGGGGATGCATGAACAACCAGAATGAAAAAAAATTCCAATAAAGGTAAAGAGTTTATGGGACACCTATTGCAACAAAACTATCTGCAAGAACATATATGGAATACATAAGAAAATTACGCAACTTCCATCGCATATCCAGAGTCTTCTTCTTTCTTCATTCTTTTTAAGTGTAATTGAAAACTTCAGTGTTATGATATAAGGACAATATTAGTACAATGTAGAAGACAATAGTAAAATTAATTTTATATGACCTTGATGGATTCACAAAGAAGTCCATGAAGGCGTTAACATATATACCACAGTGAGACAACAGACCAAGGTGGAAAAACAAACATGACTGTATACAGTGGCATGCAATGTACTGGGATCTTTGGTAGAAATCATCATAGTTTATTTTGCAAAACATAATGCAGAAAACCTCAGAACCTCTAACTTTTGTGGTAGTGCTGCAATCTGTCTCCAATTTACTACTGGGCAACACATTTACAGCTCTTACATCTTACATGAACACAGTAATATAATTCATTATTGAATCCAAATTTGGATAATACATGCAACCATTCACTATTCAAAGTTGAGGAATACTGTTTACTCTAATATACAGTCACGTGGATGCGATCACAACTGATTGTGTCTACAGCAGTAACAGTAGCTGCAATAACAGTAGTAGAGATAAACTGTTCCGTACTAAAACCTTTACCATCATCAGAGCTGGAGCCACGGGGTCGGCCCTTTGGCTGATATTTCATCTGCACCTTGCGATTAATGCCTGAGAAATGCCCGTACCTGTCCAACAGAATGATGTTTTAACATTACATCCTTCTCATATAAGGGAGATATGATATACAAATCAGAGAAAATGTTCAACATTTTACATCTGTCAATTTAAGACTTTCCTTTACTTATAATTCTACTTCCATTGCCCCATTCTGGTTAGCTCTGTATTATACTTATTCTGCTTACAGATTACTGTTTGAATCTACTGCACCCCAGAAAAACAACGGATGAAGTTCTCACTGCCTTTCACAGAATTTCATGATCTGTTCAAGGTAGAGGTTCCCAAACTGCAGGGAGTGTGTCCTGGGCAGACAAATGAGGCCTTGAGAGAAATATTGATTTTTCATGCCAAATGCAGCTGAAATAATACTGTCTACCTTGTCTATAAGCACTCATTAAAATTGTTAATCTGGATATAAAAAATTGTTAAATTACACTTTATTATGTATCAGCAATATGCATAGGTAAATGAGGAGCACTGTGCAGTATTTTCATTTAGAAACTGTAATAACTTTCTCTCAATCTGATATCTTACCAATTGAGAGCTAGCTGATGATACACAGTGAAAATAAGTGTGCACAGGGCTACATTCGTTTCAATAAAAGTAAAATGGGAGCAGGGGTAATGAGTGTTTGGTGAATGCCAAATGGGCAGCATCATATCAAAAAATTTTGGTATCACTGATGCTGGGGCAAATCACAATGTCATATGACACAACACATTAATATCTTGTTCTGAGACAAAATGTGGCTCTAGTATATGAATTCACACAGATAGTCAAGCTATGCTAGAATGTGTAGATTCTATGTTAACTGATTTATGTATTATAAATTTTATCACCATATGATTAAGCACATTTATTGTTTGTTTATAAACAATCTCTAATGACATGTATAAGATCTGTTCTGCGCTATCACCTGAATTTGTCAATGTTCAGTCTAAGAGGAAAACTTATGCCATTGTGTCTGTATAAGTACCCCTGCCTGTTCTTCCTAGTGAAGTTCTGAATCAAGCAGTCTATTTTAATGAAATTTAGTATGAAAGTTATGTTACTGTGAGGGGCTTAACTACAAACTAAAGCTCTATCAGCAATACCGAAAAGCAGAAATAAAATTTCCGAGGAGGGAGCAACATGGTGCTACTCAATGAAAATGAAAATTTTGTGTGGCAAGATGTCTGGCAAATATGCATGTTTTGTGAAGGTCATTTTTTCCTTAAAGAAACAGATTACTTTCAGTTTAATGACAATAACTGATGTACTACTGTAACTGGGCATATATTTTAGGTAGATTTCAACAGATAGTAGTTATGCATACAATCCTGAATGTTAAAAGGTTATAACATGGTGATGGAACAAATCTTTTCGGTTTGTTAAAGAAATTCCATAAAATGGAAGGCAATACCAGAAGCAATTTTTTGCAAAAGCATTTTACTGAATTACATAACTTCAAATTACAGGTTTAGTATGCATCTTTATACATTTAAAGGAAAGCAGGTATCCTAAAATGCTTTTCAGAACCTATAAAAGTTAAAGTTGTCCCTGTTGTTAAGTAATTAAATAATTAAGCAATATGCTATAAAACGTACTGGGGAGTGGATGTATGGCTCCACCATTCTTGCCCTTGGCACTAGATGGGGGTGAGTGCTCACCTTCAAGTCCTGGCCGCTTTGCACCCTGGTACCCATTGGATAAGAGGTGGGCTGGGCCCCAGAGCAAGACTGAATGCTATGGAGAAGAGAAAAATCTTGACCCACTGGGGCTCAAAACCCAGCAGTTCAGCCTGTAGCCTGTTGCTATACCAAGTGAGCTATCCCTCCTTATATTCCCACCCCACCTGAACATAGCTTATACCAGCTGTAGCCTGTCAGTAGCTACTCACATCTCCAGGACACTCTTCAGCTGCTCTAGCTTGCCTTGCTTCTCCTCTATCTCAGGGTCAGCTGCTCGGTGCTGTATCTCATTCAACAGCGAACGTGCTATGTCAAGGATTTCCTGCAACTGCTTTGGTCGCTTCAGCTTCACGTGACCATCTTTGTATCCATCATATTTCTCAAAGATCTCAAAGAACCTGCAATATAAATCCTACTATACAGAAGGAAAGCAATCTAATGTTTCAGATCCTGTGATGGCATCTTTATAACACTGCAGAGGCTGGCTATACAGAACAGCCATGTGACCCAAGTGTTCAGCTATATCTTTTTCCTTACGGTTATTTTCATACATCTTGCACATAATAAGGAAATAAAGGGAAGCCACTTACCAGAGAAAGACCCAGATTAATGGAAAGACAGGATAAGATATTTTGACAAACAAGACAGTGGTCTCCACACTGTTGTGAACAAAATATGTGGAGTCTTCACGCCCTTGCATCTCCATTTCTCATTTTAATAAAAATATATTTCATATTTGGGAAATAAGACTGAAATACTTGAGAGTTAGCAAAATTATAGGATTTAGTAAACTGTCATAAGCGAAAATCACTGCTTGAAACTTGTTCAGAGAAATTTATTAATGAACATACATTCTTTTCTTACCTATGCAAGCAGATATGCATAGACACATGCATACAAACAGGTAATAATTTTCACTTTCTTGAGTTTCAAATCATAAAATGTATATAGTTTCTTCCATAATTACTTTTGAAAATTAATTTGTACACACTTGTACAGATTAACCAGTTTTCCCCAATATTTTCCATCCCTGATATATGTACTATATGATTTCACATCTCAAAGATAATTATGGACAAACATCACATGAATTTTAACTTCTATCCAGTAGCTGGCAGCCATACTGGGACCCAGAATAATTATACAGTCACGGAAAGTTATCCTAAGAGCTAAAATTCTTAAATGGTGGTTAAAAGACATTAAGAAATGAATTTCTTATGTGGTAATTAAATAAAATCATATCTTAGAGTTCATACACAATGCAAAAATCATGTGTATTACAATTCTAGCAGAGTTGCTAAAATGTGCCCTAAAAACATCTGCCATGATATGATTAGGAATCCTTATGCAATGACTCATTATGATCACATTCTGGAGTAGGAATTCTGCTGGCAACTTTCATGTATAAATATGCAAAGTGATAATCAAACTGTTGAAAACAGAAGAAAATATAATGAAACAACTGAATTTTATCTAACTCACAAATATTAACTTTCATGAATAGCCTGCAGCCATGGTAGTATTTCAGACATATATTACATGTGTTTCCAGTAACACTGAACTTCAATATGACAATAGCACATTAAGCTTGCAAATAATTCAGACAACCCCATGTTTATGGCGTACAAATTTTATAGAAACAATACAAAAAGAGTAAATGTAATTTTAATTATAATCACTGCCATTATTAACACATTCAGGACTGGAGGGGCCAATTGGCCCTCTACGTTTCTATAGCGTTGTGGACTGGGTGGGCCAATTGGCCCTTTTCTGACGCGTTATGTTGCAACCGACTATATCTCACTGTGTGGCCATGTTGCATCATAACTACTGCGTAGTTGACCTCGGGAATGTTTGCTAGCTTATCCAGTAACATGGTCATGCTCATTTCCTGTCACACCCTAAAGAAAAAAGCCTTTGTTCGAGTCCAAGCTTCCACGTATGAACAACATGAAGTTAGCAATGCAACATGGATCAGAGACGAAAGCAGTTGCAGGCGAGGCGTTCTCTCGGAAAATAAGAAATATTAGATTTGTTCTCCAATGAGCTATCAGATTTGCCAACTGCTTCGCCTTCTGATAGCGAGGCCAGCCTCAGTGAAAGTGACAGTGACAGGGGTCACAGGGCCCCCCAAAATATTTTGTCCAGTGAAAGTGAGAGCTCCGATGAAAGTATCCAGAGATATCACATGCGCAAGCACTTCTAGGAGCTCTGGTAAGTGTTCTCCAAAATTTTTGTTCATAAAATTAATTAGGAGATTTTATATTAACCCTTTTGCGCGGGCATTTAAATTCCGCTGCCGTGTCTCTCCGGCGGTAATATATTCAGCCGTTCATTTAAATTTTGCTCGAAAATGATTTATTCATCATTGTTCTTAAATTATATGAGACAGGAACATGAAACTTTCACTAAAATGATCTTAAAAGGTGGTTTTATAACCTAACCTTATAATATGAGCGCCCAGTATCTCGGCAATGGAAGCAGTTGGTTTAGAATTTGAGCAGTGTATCGTACGCCTTGAAGCATGAAACTTTCACNAGATGTCGTAGGGGTGACCACAGAATTCATGAAGTTATTCTAAGAACTGGCTGGTATGTAGTGAATGAAAGCAGAGCTTAGCTGGCTCAAAAAATATTTATGGTCATCCCTCGAAATGACCACCAAGGTCAATACAATAAAATGGAGTCAACTGGAGCGATAATACATGAAGGAATGAGTTCTTTTCCCTCCCCCACACACACCCGTATCGTCACAGGGGGTGACCACAGTGTTCTGCCTTAATTTGTGGCATTTTTCTAAGAACTGGCTGCTATGTACTGTGCGAAATCAATCGATCTTGCAAGAATAAAATTTGGACATCCCTCTTCTAAGAATTCCAATTGAGTGTGTTAGTGTGGCCAGCTCAGGGCAATATGATATTATAAACACAGCACATATCACGTCTCTGCTGTTTATAACTTCATAGGAAAGAAAACATGCCACTCATAACAGTTTGAATGAGGAAATCTCTCCCAAGAGCAATAGGATTTTGCTGCAAGACAGGCATATGTAACGATGACTTAACACAGCTAAACAAATGCCTCATTATATATAGTTCTTCTGACAACAGGCCAGCGAAAAATCTAACAATCTACAGCAAAACCATCAATTATTATGGGCGTTATAACATAGGTGTGCAGCTGGACGAAACATAGACGTCGAACCCCTGTAGACGATTTAAATACCTTGGCGAAACATACACGTCAAACCATGCTGAACGGTTAATTTTTAAAGTGAACAGTGCACAAGTTAGGGTGCTAGGCTTAAAAACCCCGGTCCCCAGGGTGATTTAAATATTTAAACAACCGGTCCGCAATGTGTTAAAATAAATTCTGCCAGCATGCCTTAAATTTTTAGATCAAGAATAAATTTAACTTTTTGAATTGTACTCAGGGCAATAAAGACAACTTACTTTTGGTGTCGGACTTCTACTTTCATCTTCTGTTTTGGAGTCCGGTCACCATGACGAATAACAGCCACCACACACCGCAGTTCCATCCTGTACAATTAGTAACAACTGCGTGTTCACTTTCCTTCTGAATGAAGAGCATGTCAGAATGACATAAAGCAATGATAATTAACTATAAGTGAATAAATCTCTCTAATAACACGGTGAATAATATGTTGTATTAAGTTTCACAGTAGCATATGAATATATATGAGACAAACTCCGTCTTAAGTGCAACAATTTAATTGTAGTTCTTTCTTCTACAATTAAGTTGTTGCACTTAAGACGGAGTTTGTCTCATATATATTGTGTGAGTGTAACAGGATGCTTAAATATAATATAGCATATCAATATTAATGTAAGAACTGCTCACATCTTTCCAAATGTTGTGGGCACGATCGGTGGGTCATCCAGTTGAAAGGGTACAGACCATGGAATGTGTAATGTGGGTGCAAGTTCTCGGAGTATCATATTTCCCAGGATCTTGGCACAATCATCATAGTATTTGTTTGAGTTCTTCACAAAGCTGAACCCATTCACGTCACATACAAATGACTTTCCATTTGCCCTAGTAGTAATCACATCATCAGTACAATTACTTTCTCTACATAATATAACACAGGCAGATCATCAAAGGGCAATGGTATCAGGATGTATATGTCAGACATCAGTTTCATTCATTTGAAATACGTTAGTTCCATAGGTTAATTACAGAACACAATTTTAAATGTAAATAATGTGTTCATCGTTTATCCAAGGAATCAGTCCAGGTCCAAGGCTTTGTGTTCATTTTCGTAACATACTGATTTTTTACGGTAAGGAGTTGTTAGCCCCATGCCCAACCCCCAAGCTGGAGGGCCACCCCTTGTCGGCTGTCTGCGACTGCTTATTCAATATATTCACAGCTTTCCTCCAAAACTGGAGGGCGTCTCCTCCATCCGCAACCTGAGGACGTGATATGCCGTGGTGACAGGGACCCACCTGACATCAAATTCTGGCAGAACTTATTCAAGCAGGAGGCGAAATATTACTTTCTAAGATCCACAATCTAATTACTTCTATTTGGCATAAGGAAAAATTGCCTGATCAGTGGAAGGAGTCTATTATTGTACCAGTTCACAAGAAGGGTGATAAAACTGACTGTAGTAATTATCGGGGGATATCACTGCTGTCAACTTCATATAAAATTTTGTCCAATATTCTTCTTTCAAGGTTAAGTCCATATATAGATGAAATTATTGGGGATCATCAGTGTGGGTTTCGATGTAACAGATCAACTACAGATAGTGGAGAAAAAATGGGAGTACAATGAGACAGTACATCAGCTATTCACAGACTTCAAGAAAGCCTATGATTCAGTTAGGAGGGAAGTATTGTACAATATTCTGATAGACTTTGGGATACCCATGAAACTAGTTAGGTTGATTAAAATGTGTTTAAACGAAACGTATAGTCTGTGTAGGTAAACATTTGTCTAATAAATTTCCTATCCAGAATGGTCTAAAACAAGGAGATGCTTTATCGCCACTCTTTTTCAACTTTGCCTTAGAATATGCAATTAGGAAGGACCAGGGAAACCAGGTGGGACTGAAATTAAATGGGACACATCAGCTGTTGGTCTATGCCGATGATGTGAATCTACTGGGTGATAATGCAGATACCATAAAGAAAAACACACAAACTCTAATTGATGCAAGTAAAGAGGTTGGACTAGAAGTAAACACAGAGAAAACTAAGTATATGTTACTGTCTCGTTGCCAAAATGCAGGGCAAGATCATGATATAAAGATAGGAAACAGATGTTTTGAAAATGTGGCACAGTTCAGATATTTGGGAACAATGATAACAGATCAAAACCTGATTCAGGAGGAAATTAAGAGGAGATTGAACTCGGGTAATGCTTGCTACCATTCAGTCCAGAACCTTTTGTCTTCTCGTCTGTTGTCCAAAAACATAAAAATTAGAATATACAAAACTATAAATTTGATTTGTTTCATTCTTGTCCGTCACACTAACAATTATAAATACAAACCACTCTGTCCAATGGGACATATAAGTTTTTACTATGTTAAAACTTATCTCCCTTACATGTTTCGGTCCTTACGGGCCATCTTCAGAGGGAACATCATTACAAACTGGAAACTACCATCACAATAGGTGTTTTGATTTAAAATACATACATTTATATCCTATAATGCATAGTATGCATAAAGTTGAACATTTCACAATCACAGCAGCTTCCTGGTGTTGTAAAGTTTTTAAAAGTTTATAGATGTTATTTAAAAAACCTTTATTGTCAATAGTTAAAATTTTTTAAACCACATAGGTTCGTGTCCGTACCATCGTCCTTCTTGTATGGGGCAGATTTTGTGCCACCTGTTTTCAACACAGCAAGCCACGAACAAACCCTGGACATCAACAACCTCCTCATCAAGATAGACAGGCGGCACAAAATCTGCCCCTACAAGAAGGACGATAGGAGTACTGACATGAACCTACGTGGTTTAAAAAAATTTAACTACTGACAATAAAGGTTTTTTAGATAACATCTAGTAACTTTTAAAAACTTTACAACACCAGGAAGCTGCTGTGATTGTGAAATGTTCAACTTTATGCGCACTGTGCATTATAGGATATTAGTGTATGTATTTTAAATCAGAACACCTATTGTGATGGTAGTTTCCAGTTTGTAATGATGTTCCCTCTGAAGATGGCCCGTAAGGACCGAAACCTGTAAGGGAGATAAGTTTTAATGTAGTAAAAACTTATATGTCACACTGGATGGAGTGGTTTGTATTTGTTACAAAACTATAATTTTGCCTGTGGTTCTGTATGGGTGTGAAACTTGGTCTCTGACATTAAGGGCGGAATATAGACTGAGGGTGTTTGAGAACAGGGTGTTGAGGAGAAGAGGGATGAAGTGACAGGAGGTTGGAGAAAACTGCATAATGAGGAGTTTCATAACTTGTACTCTTCTCCAAGTATAATTAGAATGATCAAGTCGAGGAGGATGAGGTGGGCAGGTCATGTAGCACGAATGGGGAGACGAGGAATGCGTATAGGACACTGGTGGGAAAGCCAGAAGGAAAGAGACCACAGGGAAGACCAAGGCATATGTGGGTGGACAATATTAGAATGGATCTTAGAGAGATAGGATGGGATGGTATGGATTCGATAACTCTGACTTAGGATAGGGACCAGTGGAGGGCTCTTGTGATGAACCTTCGGGTTCCATAAAATGCTGGGAAATTCTTGAGTAGCTGCAGAATTGGCAGCTCCTCAAGAAGGGCTGAGCTCCATGAGTAAGTAAGTAAGTAAATAATGTGTTCATGCCAGGACAACAAACCAGTGGTATCTCCTGTCTCCAGGATAATATGCTTAGAGGCACTGTGAGAAGCTGTAGGAAAGTCCTCAGGAAATGTATATAGAAGACAGTGCGGTTTTCCTTTATTACCCATATTTCACCCTCTTGCTGTGAAATTCATCTTAGTTTATACTAACATTTTGTCTTTACGAAGTGAAGTCATATAGGCACAGGAAAACTTAATAATTTAACATGGGTGCATTTCTGCTAAATGTTTCACTTACGAAAACACAGTGGTCATTCTTTGGTACACTTCTCAGAAATGGGAGAGACAAAATACTCTCATTGCATTTTTCACCCTTACAGCACATCCAGGATTATCATTACTTCAAAAGGCATAATAAACCAACCACTCTTCCAGCTATTCAACTAAACAATCAGGTATCAGGGGAGTAACAGTAACTGCATCAACTAACCATTTATGTTAAGGAACTGCTAACTGTCAAGGGCTTGAATTAAGGATCAAAGAAATTGAAAAAATATATAATCCTTACAGAAAAATATTCCACTTCATTCTTCATTAACCCATTTTCTTTTCACACAGAAATTCTGTCAGCTCACCTAAGCAGAGGACAATAATCTGAGGTGGAGTGTTAACTAAATGCACAGTATCAATATTACACTTGCCCATATGTAAATTCATAAATGTTATACAGCTCACCGAAGCAGATCAAAGCCACATACAGTCTGCTTGAAGGCAAGGCACACCTTTCTGGAGATGAGTTTCTCATCATTGCTGAGTATCACTGGGTAGCGGATCTCTTTCCCTTCACTGTCCCGCTCCACCTTTCCATCCAGAGCAGGTGACTTACGGGCCTCAGCATGGGCATAGTCAGGTCCCACTGTGTACACCTAGAAATATATGTAACATAGATCAGTTTCAGCATGACCTATTATTATTATTATTATTATTATTATTATTATTATTGGAGGGGGTGGGTTTCCCCATGCACTGCGACTAGTTATTAATCTATTATGTGTCCGCCTTTAATATTCTACCAGTCGCCATGCCCTTCCAGTACTGGTGCTCGCTATCAGCCCTGTTCTACCAGCAAGGTCGGCCCTCTCTGAAAGTGGTCCCTGATACTTCCCCATCTACCGGAGGAACTGGAAACTACTTGGGCAGAAAACTTTGCCTAATTTTGCTCAGAGGTCTCCTAGAGACATGAGGATCTTTTACGTGCCGTAAATCTATGACATGGGACCCACGGCTTAAAGTCCCTCCCAGAGGACTTGTTCCCTGAATTTTTCCGCCCTTAAAAATTCCACGACCTGCGCCGGGTTTGAACCTGCGTACCTTGAGTCATGAGGTGGGAATTTTACCCTTAGGCTACGGAGGCTGCTTTCAGCATGACCTACATACTCGTAGTACAATCATAAACAGGGTGACTTTATGCAATTCTACAGTACTAAGTGCTAGTGACTGTAAATGGCTCACTAACACAAAGGACATTTTTCTCTCTCTCTGAATAAACAGCCCTTTGGACCTTGGCCGCTTTTTCAGTTACTTAATCCTGTCACAAGGCCACTACCTACACACAGAATGACACAAACACAGAATAAACACACACATACATCCATACCTTAGACCGCACAGCCACTCTGAGTGGCTAAAGGACATTTCATCACCATCAAATAATTATCAGGATCTGCTGATGAACACTAAACTGCAAGAGTTGGTTTTAGGTTGAACAATATGGTGTGAGAAATGTTATGTTATAGAAATATCTAGAAACACGGAACCTGTTACATTTCAAACACTGCTGCCTTACCTTGACATCAGTTCCATCAGTGGGCATGAAGTCTTCATAGATGAATGAGCCTGTCTTGCGGACACGTGACTCTGGGGAGTACACACTGCTTCGACTGCCTATCTGCACATCAGATAAAAATACATGCTCCTCCCTAGCAACAATGTGCTCTTAAATGAAGTCATCAGCTGCATGATCTGTTCTTACAGTCACATGCTACACTAACTGATGTAACCCACAAATAACCAACCTTGTAGAGAACCTCAGTGCACTAAGAAAATACAAATTCTTCTGATGCGGCACGAATTATTTTTAAAGGCATTAATGATATATACACAATTCACTTCAGACAATCATATCAATGCATTCACAGAGGCTACAGTGGCTGGGCATGTAGGATAAAGGAGAAAACCATTATATTGTGACAAAAGGTTGGAAGCTGGAATAATGTAGCCAGAAAAAAATTGTTCACTGCTAGGTAACAGCTACATAATTTTGTTCCCATGACCATTAATAAACAAGTAACGAGAGGAATTCTTGGAAATGGTGTTTTCTATTCAGTCTAACCCAAGGTTATAGTGGGTTGCCAATAGCAGCTGCAGTCAGTAGAGAGTTGAGTGGTGCTCAGAGATGAGCCAAGAGTTCAAGTGAGTTCAGAGGAGTCAGAGTCAGAGCTTGAGTTCAGATTCATTCAGCTCAGAGAAGCTTAGTAGTGAGTTCTGCTGTTGTCTACAGAGCAAATACCTACCAACGGCTGTTTAATAGTCCCAACTGTCCTTAAGATACGTGGTGCAATCCAAAAGTTCCCAAAATATATTAATACAAACTATTAAATATTACCTAAGATTTATTCTGCACCATCACCTTCAAAGTAGTCCCCTTGGGAGCGCATACACCGATCCCAGCGTTTCTGCCACTTTTCAAATGCATCCTGGAAGTCTTTCTTTGTTAGGGTGTTTAGTACCGTCTGTGTTTCCGCTTGAATTTCCTCAACTGTATCAAATCTTCGCCCCTTCAACTTGATTTTCATCTTGGGGAAGAGAAAGAAGTCACATGGAGCTAAGCCTGGCGAGTATGGTGGGTGGGGAACAACTGCCATCTTGTTTTTAGCCTGCACAATGTAAGCCGTATGCGGTCGTTCGTTGTCATGGTGGAGTACCCAGTCATTCGTGCACCACTTCTCTGGACGCTGTCTCCTCATGTTCTCCCTTAAATGCCTTAGAACATCGCGATAGAACTCTTTATTGACTGTCTGACCAGGAGGGATGAACTCCTTATGAACAATCCCGTCAATATCAAAAAAACAGATCAACATGGACTTAATGTTGCTCTTGACTTGTCGAGCTTTTTTTAGCCGAGGTGAAGAAGGGCTCTTCCATTGTGACGATTGCTGCTTGCTTTCAGGGTCGTAGCCATACATCCAACTTTCGTCACCAGTGACAACCTTCGAAAGAAAGTTTGGATCCTCTTGAAGCTGTTGCTGAAGTTCCCTGCAGACTTCCAAGTGATGCTGCTTCTGTTCGTTTTGCAGCAGTCGTGGCACAAACTTCGCCACAATCCTCCTCATGTTCAGTTCCTCTGACAAAATTCGTTGATATGTACCATAACTTAGTCCCAAGGTGTTACAGAGGTCTTGGATGGTCAGTCTATGATCTTGCAGAATCAGATCCCTAACTTTCGCGACATTTTCTGGTGTTTTGCCCACTGATGGCCGTCCCGAACGATTGTCATCATCAGTCAATTTTCGGCCATTTTTAAAATGCTTATACCAGTTGTAAGTTTGTGTCTGGCCTAAACTGTTTTCACAAAAAGCTTGCTTCAACATTTGGTGCGTTTCTGCAGCGGTTTTCCCAAGTTTGAAACAAAACTTTATACAGACACGCTGCTCTCTCAGGTCAGCCATCTCAAAACCGCAAACTCACGGAAACACAACAATGGAAATACGTTCACCAACAATAAACCCAACCACTCAACTCGACGCTGCTTGCCACACTGATTCAAGGATGTGTGAGGAGACACCTAGCAGTATTTCGATGTACTCATAACCATTCGCGCGCAAAATTCTAATTTTGGAAACTTTTGGATTGCCCCACGTAAGTTAGCTACACCAGGTCTTGACTGGATTTAGTGATCTGAACAAAACATGTGCTGGACAGAGTGGATTTTACAAACTTCACTTTACATAGTGTCTTCACGGCCAACTCCCATTTGGTGAAGGTGGTGTCGGTGAAGTTTGCCACCTGCCACAGGTGTGCGTACTGCTGTGAGAAACAACCAGACAAGTGGTGAACTTGAGTGACTACCAAGATGGCAGATGTCCCAGTACCAGATTTCCAGAAATACTGGACTCAGAAGCTGGCATTGCTGAAATCTCAATGTCATTCCATCATGAACAATTACCTACAAGCAGCTTCTGTAGTGCAGCAAGTACATAAAGTACTTAGTGACATTTAGAACCTTGCCAGATGAACACCAGGTAAAGTGGGGGAGAGTTCTGAATGGACCTTTAATGTGAATAGTGCAAAGAACAGAGCAAACTTTTGTAAAGGTCTGGATGGGAAGCTGCTTTTTAGTGGGCTTTACTGCATGTACATGGTAACACTGAATGAACTGAAGGTTGTCCTGACTGTGAGTGCATAGGCAGGACAAAGTGGTGCAGTGAACATAACCTCAGTGGAATCAATGGCTCAGGATGACTTCCGGGAAGTAAAGAGATGCAAGAGACAAACTTCTAATGATACGTCACAGTTAGCCAAGTAGTCGACTAAACCAGTCCCAACTTCTGCAGCTCTCAAGCTGCCTCCAAAAGCAGGGTGAACTCATTACTTCTTAGCACCTCTAAGAACTACTGACATGGACATGAAAACTACTGCAACAGAAAACATGCTATCAAAGCAGGAGGCTCCCAGAAAACCAGGTAGGCAGCCACCAAAAGTGATGACTTCTACCACAAACCTCATTCAACTTCAAAGTGACTTAAAAGAACATGTGAAAGGAGAGTATGAGTTCCGAAACATACGAAATTGAACCCATATCACAACAAAAGAAATTGCAGACTATTCTGCCATGAAATCATACCTGGAGTAAAGTAATCTTCACTATTTTACCTTCTCCCCTAATCTGAAAAGCCTCTCAAGGCAGTAATCTGCCACTTTCCCCCAGACACACTAGCGGAAGATATTTCAAACAGCCTTAATGACTCAGGCTTCAACATCATCAATGTGACACAAATGATGGCCAATCAAAGAGCACCCTATGGACAAACTTATGTGGAAACCTTCCCTCTGATCCTTGTTACCTTAACAAAAAACATAAAATCTCAAGAGATATTCAAGCTGAATAGCCTTAACCACATTATCATCAAGGTAGAATCATACAGGGCTCAGACTGGCTTTTTGCAGTGCTACAACTGCCAAAACTTTGGCCAGGTCTGGGTCAGCTGCAAGCAACCACTTTGATGTTTGTGGTGCGGTGGTGGCCACGTGCGTAGGAAATGCCCTCAAAGATGAATACAGAATCTATGCTGAGTTGTTGTAACTGCACTCTAGTAGAAGGAATGAAACCTCATCCAGCGTCACATTAGGGCTGCAGCTATGTGAAAGTAGAACAGTAGAGGACAAGAGCACAATGAACTCCCAAGGGATTCTCTGGGAGGACATTCTTCTATATGTTCACCTCACCAGAACAGTCCTACACAGCTGCACTGCATCAAGACACTAAACAACAATAACCACAGGCACTGCAGGCAGATGTGACAAGCATGCGGCACCCTATGCATCAGCATCTGCCACAACAGGAAATTCAGAAAACAGGTCTGTCAGTACAGGCTCCCAGTTCATCTGATAATGATGCATTAAAAGTAGCTACTGCAGTGTGACATATCAGGATGGAACTAATTAAAGCTGTGTCAGAAGAAGACAAAATAATGGTCATTATAAAAATGGTTCTTAGCTTAAAAGTAATAGCATTTGGAGCCAGTGCTACGAGCTCAGTAAACAAATGCAAGACTTACATATGTAGCTCTGTTCTCAGAGGCACATCTCAAACCCCATGACATGTTCTTTATTCCAAATTATCACTTTTATTGGATTGACCGTTTCCTGGGAGTTTCCTGCCATTGGAGTGAGAAAAGGCATTCCTCACAACTATGTAGACCTGCCTCTGCTTGTCTCAATAGAAGCCATAAGGGTTTGCGTATCAATTGGTAATAGCAAGGTCGATACTGGCAGGAGTTCTGAATGCTAACCATCCACTTTGGAGTAGTGTAGTTTCCAACCCTTCAGGCACGAAACTGTAAACTTACTGCATATAAATGAGTTCAAAATTTCAGCACTATATGTCCCACTCATTACTCTCAAGCGGGAAACGGTGACATGCTCAATATTACACAACTTCTTTATTAAAACCATCACAACACAACTATATCAAGGTCAGTGCCTAGTTTGGCTCTGCTACATGTTTCGGCTATTAAAAGCCAACATCAGGCAAATACATGGCCAACATATATACACCACTGAACTGCAGTACTAGTAAAATTGGATACAACAATATTAATTATACTAAATACTTGGTGTAAAAATAAAATAAATTTGATTATATAAAACAAAAGTTATAGTATAAAACAAGAATAAAATTCTTCGATTGATGCTTTACATCATCGACTCAGTCGTTGGTTTCTGTGATTTTGTTGCACTCCCACAGACAAATTGGAGTATTCTATATTTTGTGTATATATAATAAACTGTTATTGAAGGCTCGTGATGTAGATGTAGTAATATCAATGTTAATTATTTAGTCGGTGCCTCATCTTACAAAGTATTGTCCATTCTGTAGGGAATGTAAACAACTACATAATTAACATCAATATTACTACAACTACATCATGAGCCTCCAATAACAGTTTGTTATATATACACAAAATATAGAATACTCCAATTTGTCCGTGGGAGTGCAACAAAATCACAAAAACCAATGACTGACTTGATGATGTAAAGCATCAATCGAAGAATTTTATTCTTGTTTTATATAATCAAATTTATTGTAGTTTTATGCCAAGTATTGTAATATAATTAATAATATTGTATCCAATTTTACTAGTACTGCAGTTCAGTGGTGTATATATGTTAGCCATGTATCTGCCTGATGTTGGCTTTTAATAGCCGAAACATGTAGCAGAGCCAAACTAGGCACTGACTTTGATATAGTTTGTTGTGACGGTTTTAATAAAGAAGTGTATAGTATAACACAACAGGACGCATGAAATGAAAATTACAAATGCTCGATATTGTTGTGCACAAGAATGTCCGGCTGTTAGAAGTCATCATCTCTGATATTCTGGACTTAGATCACCTACCATTCATTTTCCACTTGCTGGATCATATTAGAACTTTGAATCTTTCAATCCTGTTGACAAATTCACAGATTGGTAGTGGTTTCAAAGCTTGTATCTGAATTAATTTAATTTATAATCCAAATTAACTCTGTGGAAGAAGCTGATAAAGCGGCCTGCAACTTTACTGTCTCTGTAGCTTTGGCATACAGGCTGTAAGCAAGCAAAATTACACTCTCTGCTAAAACATAAGCAGAGATTAAGGAAACTGTGGAAAGTAATGCAGAATCCAGCATGTAAAATGGTAGTTAATTGGGTAGCCAAAACCATCAGATGAATGACCCACTGAAAAGCAATCGAATGGTGGGAAACGAAAGTAGGGAACTGTGAGGTCATACTTCCAAGTTCTGTGGCCTATTGTGAAATCACTTATGAAAAGGGATGGACCAAAGGCAGCAACCACTATTCATGGACCCCTAGGAATAACATATCACCTGAACGAAAAATCCAACGTGACTGTGGATTGTTTAGAAAACCAGTTCACATTTCATGATCTGTGTGACAAAGCCATGAGCAACAGGTGGTAACTACAGTCCATGTTCTCCTCACATCTGTAGACAACACTCCGTTGAGAAAAGTAAAACCTTGTGACATATACAAATTAGAAAATTCATTGAAATTGAGAAACACTTATGACTTGATATTATTCCAAATGGATGCCTTAGGCATCTTCCAAGAAGACCACCGGTACACTTCCACATCATGTAAAAGGTAAGGTAAAGCTGTCCCTGTTCTTACTTAAGAACACCATGCATGTAACTTCTTAAAATTCATAAATTCACAGCACTTCCAGAAATTATGTTCACATTATACCAGTGTCAATGGGAACAATCACTGAACTTCAGATATTTTCAGAACAATTATTCATATTTCTGGCACATCTTCACAAATGACAGAGCAGCGAATATGAATATGCACATACCAGTATATTAGTCATAAGCAGGACCTGGATTTTGATGACATGTCATCTTTTTTTCCTTGTATCCTATGCAATGCTCTTAAATATATAAACCTTGGATATGAGCTGCTGGTTACAGAAATGTAAAAAGTAACTTTCTGTCATTTTTTGACATTTTTAGGCTTAAGTTCATTTTTTCATTTTTGGGGTAATTTTTTTGGTAAATTTTTGGACGTTTAAGGGTATTTCTTGTCATTTTTGGCCATTTTTGGGAATTTTTCTTCATGTTTTCTAAAATGTGAATAACATGGAAGCAAAATGTTCTTTCTTTTCACCTTTAGGTCATTTTTCTGGATTTTTTCAGTCATTTTATAGGTCATTTTTTAATATTTTCAGGTTATCAAAATCTGGGCCCTGAATATTACATTTTTGGGTCATATTTTAGGTCATTTTTCTGGATCTTTTTCAGTCATTTTATAGGTCATTTCTTAAATATTTTCAGGTCATCAAAATCTGGGCCCTGGTCATAAGCTACCCCTTAGTAGAAATAAACATTTATGCTGGCAAATCAGACATTTGTGTTAGTTAGCTTTCACAGTGATTGCCAAAGCAATATCATTCATCTTTAATAGAAAACACAACCGTGGGAAAATTTATTCAAAGGCCCAATATTTTAGTCGAAATGGGTGAATCAGAAAAATGAAATGTTTCTAGTGTCAGTAGTCTAGTGTTGGTCCCTGCTAGTGTTCACATTAGAATTTAAATTAGAATATATTGATATGACAATCAAATGTCGAAATTCTGCCATTCTAATATAAGAACAGCTGCATCATCTCTTCCCACTGGACATGTCAGATTATCAACATGCAAGATATTGTGACATATTTGCTCAATGGAAGAACTGTGGAGCCACAGAAACATCCATTACCAGCGAATGCCTCTGAAACAACATTCGTTTCCATGCAATGGCCAAGAAAATACATCAGAACATCCGTTGCTAGGCAGCAGATTCTTAATAAGCAACAACTGAACAGCAACAGAGGAATGGTGTTTCTGTGCAAACCAAGCCAAGATGTTATAACTGGCATGGTTTGGAGCAACGAGTTCAGCGCTCAGGTGAAAGTCAGGCTGTGAAGAGAACACTAGGAGGTTGGTGTGAAATGGCCTGGGAGTCAGACAGTTGATGCACTGAGAGAATTGCAAAGGAGTCTGCGATGAGAAGAATTAGCACAGAAGCTGAAGAACCTCCACTGTTAAAATCCATTACCAGGAAACGAGGTGGTATCTAAAAGTTCCTGGACTATTACTGTTATAACTGCCTCGGTGAAAGAAGATGAGAGGGGAGACCAAGGTCACACTTCTGAAAGTGTATTGCATCAGTCTGTCATATGACACCATGCTGTGTATAACAAATGGCCGATGCTGGGAAGCCTTACCTTACGGAACAATCTCTGGCTGCCCCCTCCAGCAGATGTTGGGTAGTAGATGTAGATATTATGATCCTCAGCTGAGACTGGCTTCTCCACAAAAGGTTTGTTGAACACAACACCATTTACTTCCACATGATCTTCTGACTCCACCAGCTCATGATCTATAACCCACAACATTTTAGTCTCTGAAGAGTTCTGCCTTCTGGGATACATCGCTATGTAGTCTGCCAAAAGTCAATCGACCTTTCAGAGGAACATGTTGACTTCATCTTCAGGGTTGAAAAAGAAGCCAAGCAGGAAACCAGCTTGCCACCTGCTTGCATACTGGTTTCTTGCTTGGCTCATTTTTCGAACCTGAAGATGGAGGTGATATGTTCTCCTGAAACATCAGTTCATTTCCAACAGACTACATGGTGTTACATCCCATGAGATTAAGCTTTTCACATACAATGAGCATTCACACACAATTCAAATTCCATCTGTGTAACCACTGCAAAGTTCCTCCATAAAGACAGCAGGCTGAGAACTTTATTACAATACCATCATGCTACATGCATAATTACTCACGTTTTGGATTGGGGGAATCCCGGTCAAGCACAGCATAGCGAGGGATCTCAATTCCCTCACCCTCCAGGATTGAGTACACCTTGCGGCGGTCCTGTAAAATTCATGTTACACTGTCACAAGATTGTTACTGCAAAGGAAGCACTGTTTGGTTGGACACAGATAACACAATAAGCACGCAATTTTAATTCTATGACAGCATATAATGGTATAAGGCAAATAAACATATCTGTTACACCGAATACTTCCTACAACAGAAGTTTGAAATTCAATCATTTATAGTACTCAAAATGTTTATATACGATGGGGCAACCAAAAGAAACCGAACTAATTTTTTTGTGGGCAGAGCTTTTGTTTTTTTTTTATTTTTTTTTTTTTATTTAACTCCAATAATTATACAATCTATCCATTAAGTGTGGATAATAAGTACATTTTGTGGTTTACATATAGAAAAGGAAAGAGAATACTTCACGTGGTGAGCATGTTCCAATGAACATGCTCAATACTTATTTTAACTGCTTAGTAATATGCAGTTAAGTGTTGTATTATTCGAATCTAGTGAGTAAATCTGATGGTTTAAATCTGTTTAGCCTCCTGATTTCCCCTTCGTCATCGAGCAGTTTTTGTGCCAAGTTGTTCGGATGGGCCTGGAGTCTGATTTTATACTTTTTGCTGTTTTTTTTATTTCCTCTCATACTGTTGGTACTGTAGTACTGCGTTTTGCTGCTATGAGTGCATAGAGCTAACATTCCTCTGTCGATAAGCCAACTACCGTTGCTTCAGAAGGTAAGGACTAGTTTCGGCAGAGTTCATAGTGACAACTGTTTTGTGTGATTGTCGTTTCTGCAATGGCTGATTTTCGTGAACAGCGTGTGGCGGTGAAATTCTGCTTTTTGCTCAGGAAAAGAGGAACAGAAACTCTTGAAATGTTAAAAACGGTGTACAAGGATGATGCTATGGGGAAAACTCAAGTGTTTGAGCGGTTTTCCCCTTTCAAAAATGGTGAAATGTCAATTGATGACAAACCTCGTTCTGGTCGTCCTTCAACGGCCCGAACACATGAAAATGTTGAAAAAATTCGTGAAATCATCAAGGAAGATCGATGATGGACCATTCAAGAAATTGTGGAGCTGTCAGGAGTGACTTGGAATTCAGTTCAGCGAATTTTGACAGAAGATTTGGGAATGAAAAGGGTGGCTGCGAAATTCGTGCCACGACTGCTGACTGCTGAACAAAAACAAGGTCGCGTGGAAGCATGCTGTGCTTTGAAAGAAGAGTCCCGAGTCCTCGAATGAAAAGACACATGAAAGGAAAGCGTTTTGCTGATGTTGCTGAGGTGAAGGAAAAAACTACAGAGGCGCTGTCAAGCATCTCAAAAGATGAATTTAGACAATGTTTTGAAAAATGGAATAAAAGACTAGACAAGTGTATTAGTGTAAGTGGAGAGTACTTTGAAGGGGATTGAAGGTTTGTGCTTAAAATTTGAATAAATAAGTTTAAAAAAACTAAGTTCGGTTTCTTTTGGGTACCCCCTCGTATTTCTGATTTGTATATTCAAATGTTTTTCCTTCTCATGATAAAGATTACATGCCAAGAAAGTAAGTGTATGAACTTTTTCAATAATTTGTTGCAAATATATATACTACTTTTATGATGAATGGAACAGTTTCATTTGTCTCAATGATTCTGACACAAACTTTCATGAGATGCAGAAGCATGACGATGTAGTGCTAATGCTCTAGACTTGTATTCATAATGCACAAAGTTTGAATCTTGGCTGGGTTACTGGCAAACTTGACTGAATATCAAATGATAATTTTTTGTTGTTTACTTTATGACACCATACCTGTACTTTTATATAGGGTGATTCACGAAATTTTACCCCCACTTAGGGAGGGCATTTCTGAGGTAATTTGGAACAAAAAATGTTAATATACTAATGGTATCTGACTCATAATTAACAAGATACAGTAATTTGAAAACTGGCGAAAAATCTTTTTTTCTTCGATTTTCAGTCAAAACAAATTAGAAATACAATACAAACACTTTTTAAATCATTAATGTTTTAGGAAAGAAGCATTCTAAAACCATTTTTTCAATTTCTTAATTTTGCTTTGTGCAACATTTTTCATCGGTTTTATGTTACAAAATTACATTATTTTCAGCATCCCATTCTGTAAACATACCAATGGTTGCATACCACACCCTTCTATCCATCTGTTTCCTTTAAACTGTAGTGCTTTAGACGACGACTGGATTTACATAAGATTTTAAAAAATTTCCCCCTGCACACCAACACAACGCGATGCAAAGCGTATGAACCGCGCTCCTAGCATTTCACAGTTCCACACGTTTTTTCCTTATTGTCATTGCTGCATCCAGAATACGTTCAAGCAACGCTTCACGTGTTTGTACCTTTACCTGGTACACAATGTCCTTCATCCAGCCCCAAATGCAATAAAATGAACGGCCCGATTAGCTGATCATACAGAACACCACACCAGACATTGATACTGAATCAGTGTTGAAAATTCGATTCTATCGTGGCACGGGGATTATTGTCTGCCCAAACATGTAAGTTGTGACTGTTGTTGACCCCGTCACATGTAAATTGTGCCTCATTACAGAATATTATCAAGTGGTACAACTGCCGATTTTCATTTAACCAGTTGCAGAACTGCAGACGAAGAGCACGGTCTCCTGCTTGTAGGTGCTGTACTTGTTGTAAATGATAAGGATGCAGTCCGTTCTCATGAAGAGTCCTCCACGCCATGGACTGAGAAACACCAAACCGCCGAGCTAGACATCTTGTACTGGCACGAGGAATGCGCTCTACAGCATCGAGAATGGTTTCTTCTTCGCACAATTCATGTTGAGGATTTCGTTCATATTCTATATGAACACTGGAGAGAGAACCAGTTTGTCTTAATGTGCTGAATGTACTGCTAATGGATTTACGATTCAGAATCCTGCGAATAGGATAACGCCGGTGATGTTCGGCAGCAGTGGCTCTCGCATTTCCATCACATACACCCAAAACAAACGCCATATCAGCGTATTCCTCAGTGGAAAATGTGTACGGCATCTTAACTTCACATAGTCACCAACCCAACGTCCTCTTCACTACTGGATTGCTTTGCCTACGATTGCGCAACATTCCAGCCGGTCAGCTTATCTACTGACACAGCTGACTGGAATGCAAGGTCACCCAGGGGGGAAGCATAGCGCTGCATTCAAACTGATGCATTCCGAAAATCTATTGTAACTCTGTAACTACTGAAAATCAACCAAAAGTTTATAAGGAAGTTTTGCAGGATATAACCCCAGGAATATATACCATAAGCAGGGGTAAAACTTCGTGAATCACCCTGTATAATGAACTAAGGATTTGGAAGGCTACAGTCACGGCAAAATTGTGGTGGCCTAGAGAGCCTGAAAAGAAAATACAAAAGGCTGAGATTTGAACCAAGTTCCTTCCCAAATACAATACTAGAGCATTACTGTTGTAACAATCTGATCAGTCACCTGACGAAAAGTGATGGTTAAATAGTGGTGAAATTATCATTATACGATATCACCTCTACTTCTGGAGTAGCCATTTATTGGCTCGTAACCAATTGGTGAGTCTTTCTCTTCCCTAGAAGAAAACTGGTTCATATTCCACAGCTCAGTAAGAGAATAAACTGTGATTTTGAAAAGGTCCTCTTTCACATTTAGGTTTCATGATATAAGTGTCATGTACCTGAATATCATACTGCATATGGAGATTGTTGATGATGAATGGGTTGTGAAGATTGGCATATTGGATGGCCTTGTCCAGTGGGAAGCCCTTTGAGTGGAATGAGATGAGACAGTCGCAGATTGGCCATTCCTCCACTGGCTTCTGTTCAACAGACAGAATGGCTTGGAGGTACCACCATATGGCATAATGTAAGAGTTATATTCCCAAGGTACAACATCAAGCTGTGGCACATACACATATTAAAACAAATAACAGTGCGTTAAAAAAGCATGCTGGCCATATAAGTCAAATTACACATTACATTTTCTCAAATTTGTCACAAAGATGTCTTACAACTTGTCTTACGCTGCTATGCACTATAACCAAACTGAATATAAGATGATTCACAAAAACACTTGCAGAGGGCAGAAAAGTAGGTAAATGCTGTATACAAAAGCAGATGAGCTTTCAATTGATAATTAGCCACACTGAGTTTTTAAGTGACATATAGGCAGACTTCACTACTTAAGAACCAATTTGGAATATGTAGTGTAGTACATCTTGGTGTAAAAGTGAAAAGCTACATAAAGATTATTCCAAAAAGATTTTAACGCTGCCAAGGCAGGATGTATTACCAACTGACAACAATGAATTAAGTGTTCATTACAAGAATTGTAAATGATAATAACTACCTGATATAATGTTCAGCTAGTGTTTCTGCATATACAAAGATCAATGAAACATATTACTTTATGTGAAAGATGGCATGCTTGTATGTAGAAAATGTGTACTGAGGATTATGCACATGCCTTAGTGGTAGTCGCAACATGAAGATGGAATGATATGAGGTCACCACAGTTCTCTATGCTGAAACTGGATTTTATCAGAGTCCTAAATACCATATGCAAAAAAGATTCAATTTACATAAAGCACACAGCTTTTAAAACCCTTAATTTCCACTTGTAATATTTTAAATTTGGCATATTTTTGACGAAATACAAGACAAAATGAATCTGCTTACATAACACAGGAGTCCCTGAAGAACCAACTGGAACTAAAATGAAACAAGCATATCTCTCATACAACATTTTACACAAATCACTCAGCTGATCTGAAGATGAAGCATGGATAGACAGATATGTAGGCAGTAGATAAGAAGATAGCCAGACTGACGTGACACAACCTCCTCAGATATTCTTGCATTATGGAATGTGAGTATTATGCCTAACATGTGTAATTATTTCATACATCTGAAAATGTAAACATGTATATTTCAATATTAGTGTACATTATCACCAGTTTTAATTCTGGCAAATTTTCAATTTAGCAAATACATTTTTGAGAGACAGTGAAATTCAATCTAATATATTTCACCATAAAATACTCACATCCCTGAGGTTTCTGTCACTTATTATAAAAGTGAACCCAATAAACTAGCATACAAGGTCTGATCAAAAAGCATTTAGACCAAATTCATATCTGAAATAAATTAAAAGGGGCATGGTTACAATGAACATGTTCTGACAAATTAGTGCATGGCCACACTAATTTGCAGTTTCAAGTGCTCAAGGTGAGAAATTAAATTCAAGAGTGCTCTGAGCATGTGTCAATTAATGATATTTGAGCACAAGGTGTCTGCATTAAATTTTGTGAGATCAGAAAGACGGCAATCAAAAATCATTTACTGCTCCGAACAGCATAAAATTGATCAATTAACACAAACAACATCTGGAGATATAACACTGAGTTCCTAGTCAGTTTCTAAGTAATTCTGTTGATTTAAAGAAGGATGAATCTCTGTCAAATGTTAAAAAATCTTGGGTGCCTTCAACAACTAGAAATGATAAATCAGTAGCTCAAGTGTGTGACTTAGGGCACAATGATAACAAACTTATTCAGTGGTGTGCCATGCATGGAAGCAAGGGAAGCACTGCTTCCATAGCTAAGAAACTAAAAGAGAAGATGTATAAATAATTCAATTTGAATAATAAGGATGTGAATACTGTCATGTTCTTAAAAATTTACCACGTGCTCAAGGCCACATGCCTCCTCCCTTCCCCTGCTTGGGGGGATGGACCAAGTTTCCTTTCATTAATCATCATGTGATTTAATCTAACACAAAGTTATTAGGGAAGCATTTTTCAGTTTGCTGGCCAGGCAAACTGTGTTCTTTCGATGGTTATGTGAAAATTAACTGTTTATGTGTGATTTCAGTCTTGTTGGGTGTCATAGGTAACATTAAGTTTTATTAAAATATTGTAAGTGCATATTTAGATGGCATAAGATTGTATTTGTGATCACATTTTGACGCATCAGAAAGAAGCTATCCACGTTTAAGGGAAGCAAGTGTGATATTGTGGTACAAGGGCAGGTTCGTGATTAGACTACACGCACAGGCCATAGCTAAAATGAATGTGGGCAGACAACGCGACTGTGACTGTGCAGTCAAAAGCCTTTTAAAATGGGGGTTAATAGCAGGGACTTTTCTGAAGAGAAAATGATTATAGAAAGAGGACTGACATGCAATTTGCCAGAACTTAAAGCACAAACCAAATTATGTGTTAGGAAATTTAATTTGGAACAGTATTCTAAAACCGAGTGGCTAGCTGGTTGCCGTAATATAGGAAAATTGTTTTGTTGGCCATGCCTATTGTTTCTCAATGAAAAAATGTATGGAATAAGACTGGGTTTGGTGATATCAACAACCTTCATAAAGCACTGAAACGACATGAGAACTCTCAGACTCACATTATTTTAAACAATGCAACTTGTTATGTTCGGGAAATCTTGAACTGACTGTCAACATGACAACCAAAAGCGCCTTACGATACTACAGCACAATGAAAATGTGAAAGAAAATAGAGAAATAATGAAACGCTTGAGTGATATCATTTGCCGTTTAGGAAAGAGGCAACCTACTCTCTGTGGTCATGACGAAAGCGTGGATTCTATTGACCGAGGTAATTATGTGGAATCAGTTCAGTTGAGGAAATATGATCATAAACTCAATGATCACCTTGAGAACAGTACAGTAATTGCAGGTTTATTGAACAGAATTCAAAACGACCTTATTGACTCAATAAGTGACGTAATTCTAACAGAAATCAAAAGAGAAGTAAGCTCGGCCCCTTTTGTTGCTGTAATGGTTGATGAGACAACTGACATTCGAAGCCAATCACAGCTCTCAATCATATTAAGATATGCAACTAGTGATGGTGAAATACAAGAACAGTTTTTAGGATTTTTGGATGTGAGTGCTGATTGAACTGCATCGGCATTAGCTGAACGTGTTATAGACTGTGTAGTTCAGTAGGTTTTTGGCAGCAAAATAGTGGTGCAATAGTATGATGGGGCAGCGGTCATGTCAGGTGAACTTAATGGGTTACAAACTACACTGAGAGACACGTTTCCAAATGCCATGTTCATACATTGTATGGAACATAAGCTTAATCTTGTACTTTCACAGTCTGTCTCCAGTATTAGAGTGCAATGTGTTTCTCAAAACAGTGAACAGCTTTTCTTCCTTTTTCTCTGCATCTTCTAAAAGGACACACTGTTTGGATCAAGAAGTGAAAAAGGTTTCCGAAAGTCGCACCAACCAGGTGGAACTATAAGAGTTGTCTAGTTGAGACAGTATACAAGTACAAATTTGAATTGAACACCATGTTCCCAAATATAATTGCAAACCCAGATAACTGGGATAATGAAACGTACTTTGCTGCTCAAGGATTTCTTTCTGTGCTGCAAGATTTCAACTTTAATTTTCTACTTGCTGTTTTCAAAGATTCCTTTTCAGTAACCACCATTCTTTCTGACATACTACAAACAAAATCAAATGGCATATCTTTTTGTATCTGTAGTGACTGTAAAGGAAAAAAGATATAGCCAAGGAAAGAGAAAACTTCGAGAACGTATCCTCTGAAATGTCCTCAAATGAAGAAATTGATGAACAATAGAGCAAACGGTTGCATCTTGACAATGTAGGAGACATAAAAAAATGCTTCAGAAAACTTTATTATGAAATTTTTGATAATGTTGTGAATCAAATTGAATTAAGGTTTCAGAACTTAGAAAAGCTAAAATTTCTTGAATTAATAAATCCTAGTTGCAGTAAGGAGTATGAAAAGACATTTCCTGAAATTCCTTTTCTGTCACTGAAAATAGTGTATGGCCAGCACTTCAATTTTCCTCGTTTAAGAAGTGAACTGAATGTATTTTATTCTAATGAAGATTTAAACATCCAGAATGCAGGTCAGCTTTTGCTACATCTAAAAACTACGATCGAGAGTGCACAAAAAAAAAAAAAAGCTGACAAAGTTATGTGAACTGATCGTGACAATTCCTGCAAGTAGTGGTTCGGTTGAACGTCTGTTTTCTGCACTGAAGAGAATTAAAACTATGGGTCTATGGTTGGTCATGACTAAGAAAATAAGCCTCAGCAATCACAATGGAAATCCAAATCTTCATCAAGACTTAATAACTAACTAACTAAACAAATCAATAAATAAAGCATTCCAACTGTGCAGCAAAACTGAAGTGATGCTAATTGTTTTCTGTGATCAGAAGGGTGTTGTACACAACACATAAAGGCCATAAGATCAGATTTTTAATAAAAATCTCTAGCTAAAAATACTGAGGCACATCTTTGAAATGCTGTGCATCATAAACAACAGTAAAAGTGGGAAAGTGGAAAATTCACTTTGACAATGCATCTGATCAGACAGCCCAATGTATGAGGGGCGTTCAAGTTCTAAGGTCTCTGATTGTTTTTCTTAGGACTGGGAGCAGATAGACACATGCGGTTTAGTTTAAAATATGTGTGCAATCTTTGTGAATGCACAAGAGAGATGGCAGCACTGTACGGCACACAGAACTCTAGTGGTGGCGAAGAAAGTGAGGAGTGTTTCTGATACTTAAAATGGCGACGTTTTCGTTACAAGAACAGCGAGTAATCATTCGTTTTCTCCACTTGCTTGGTGCGACACCCATTGAAATTCATTGCCAGTTGAGTGAGACACGTGGTGATGGTGTCATGAATGTGAAAAATGTGAGTTCGTGGGTGCGACAGTTCAAAGAAGGCCGAACGTTGTGTGACAATGAGCCAAAAAAATCTTGGCCTCGCACCAGTCGGTCTGATAACATGGTCGAGTGAGTTGAGAAAGTTGATTTGGAGGATTGCCGATTGAGTGTGGAAAACATCACCTCCAAAGTTGGCATTTCTGTGGGATCTGTGCACAAAATTCTGCATGAAGACCTGCGAGTGTGGAAAGTGTCCTTCAGGTGGGTGCCACGAATGCTGGCGGACGACCACAAGGCTGCGCACATGGCAATTTGCCAGGCGATGTTGACACGTGATGAAGGCATGAATGGGACTTTCTTTTCATCAACTGTGACAATGGATGAGACATGGATGCCATTTTTCAAACCTGAAACGAAGCGCCAGTCAGCTCAATGGAAGCACACAGACTCACCGCCACCAGAAAAATTTCGGGTAAGCGCCAGTGCTGGAAAAATGATGGTGGCCATGTTTTGGGACAGCGATGGCATAATCCTTACTCATTGCGTTCCAAAGGGCACTACAGTGACAGGTGCATCCTACCAAGATGTTTTGAAGAACAAGCTCCTTCCAGCACTGCGAGAAAAACAGCCGGAAAAGGCTGCACGTGTGCTCTTTCACCAGGACAATGCACCAGCGCATCAGGCATACGCGACGCAGCAGTTTCTTCGTGAAAACAACCTTGAAGTGGTTTCTCATGCTCTCTACTCACCTGACCTGGCTCTTAGCGATTTTTGGCTTTCCCCAATGATGAAAGACACTCTCCTTGGTCGCACATTCACCAGTCGTGCCGCTATTGCATCAGCAATTTTCCAGTGCTCAAAACAGACTCCTACAGAAGCGTTCATAGCGGCCATGGAACCATGGCGTCGACGTTGTGAAAAATGTGTACGGCTGCAGGGAGATTAGATTGAAAAGTGACAGAAGTTTCAAATTTTTTGTATGATTATTGTGTGAGAAAAAAAATCAGATACCTTAGAACTTGAACGCACAATTTATATGGTAATATTTATCTAATACTGTATTCAACAACTGAGACAGCATCCCTAATCACTCTGTGAATTTCATCAGGTCCCTAAACCTAAAATTATCCCCCCCCCAAAAAAAACACATACACTGCAATGTCAATGGCATATTTTACAATGTGGAAACAAATGAACAACAGCTGTTAGCAATTCCAAAAACTGTGTTTAAAAGTCATTTTCAGCACAGCAGGAACAGTGGAACAAGTATGTATGTGTTGAAAGAGCCTACTTTGAAAGGTATTAACCTGATTGATGAAAGCACTGCATCTTAATTTTCACACATTCAGTCTTCATACTGTTTGATCAGACTTCAAGATTCATCAGTGTAAGAAAAGCTGTCTCTTGTTTTGCATGCAAGAAGACCCATTATTCCAGGAACATTCACACTATTGTTGAGTGGGTGGAACAAAACATGATACATCAAACAACTGGGGCCTTAGAAGGAACACTGTCATTGCCCCATTATTATGCTGACAGCTTGTCCTTAAAAAAAAAAAAAAGTGTCTAACAACGGTAAATGAAGCTTGTTAAAGAGAATGACAATTTCAGCCTACAACAGTGAGGGTTTCTAATGTTCTATTTTAAAGGCCTTAAACTTTTTTTTGGTAAATAACCTCCTATCTTCCAGACCGTTTCTGTGCAATGTAAAAATTATAGTACAGGTAAGGTTATAATTAGTAAAATAAAAGGTTATAATACTAAATTAAATTACAATTTAGGTAAATATTACATGCTAATTTGTACAGAGAGTTGTCTTCTTTATACTACAATAACAATTATTGGTGCTTACATCATTTTAGACTTTAAAATATATAATCAAAGATATGCACATACAAGAATTTGTTTTAATTTCCAGTTAATTTACTATACCTTCCACATGTGGCTCTGTTAAATGGTATTATTTACTTAACATTTTCAAATTTTGATTAAATCTATTTAATGCACATCCTATCAATCACCACACTTGTGCCTATGCATCAATAAACAATCTTACAATCAATTGGCCATTATGACTTTGTAAAAAGCCCCTATACACTATGAAGATATTGTATCACAGAAATACTCAGCTCATTAGCTCAAGTCAAAAGCAATTGTGACATATTTTGTTTTGGCTTTTACTTCTGACTCTTCATATTCTCCCTTGAGTAGAAATGTGAACCTGAACTTTGTGTACCATCCACAATGAAAATATTAAATTCATCTATATACCTCCTGTAACATTAAATGTAAGTCATTTCCAGTACTTGGCGCACATAATTTATCACACATCAATAGTTACTTCCCCCAAGGATATGGAATGTATACATTTTACAGTGGGTTTTACTTTAGTTGATGCATCATTAACTGAAAACATTATAGAACAAGAAATAATAATTAGAAAATAATTATGAATAATGACTTGGAAAAGGTGTAGGAGGAAGCAATCACAATTTTTCTTAAGCACCTATCAGGAGGGACTGAGTAAACATACTGTGACATGTAGATCTGTTACTACGAACGACTGCAAAATAACCAACTATACAAGAGCCGTTGCTAAGTAACAGCTCAGCAAACAAATATATTTCCAAGGCAACAACTGCACTGCAACAGAGGAATGGTGTTTTCTACCTGGTCCATACCAAGATGTTATAAACAGGGTCAATTAACTGTTGCAGTTAGTTAGTCAGTCTGTTAGTTAGTTAGAGAACTGTTGCAGTTAACTGTGAGCCGTAACTGTTAGCTGTTGGTAGCTGGGGCCAGGGACAGTTCAGAAATCCAGAGGAAGGGGAACGTCCACCATTGGGAGTCATTAGTATGCACGTGCACATGTGTGTGTGTAATATTAAACTGTAAAGTGTAGTCACGTACTGTATCAAAGAGTAAAATAAATCTGAACATCAATCTAAAACCCATCTATAGTCACACTACATAAAATCACATGACAACACGAAAAGCATGCCAGGATAGCCGATCTCCCAGCCAATGTTCAACTGGAATTGGAAACCGGGGTGCTAACCCCTATGCAGCAAAATTCAGTTTTGTACACCAACCTGATTTTGATCCACTTTTTGTTAGGCCAGTTATTTAATTACATGTATTAATTTATTTCACCATTCTTAATGTAGCATTTATCTTCAAGGAAAGAAAGATACATGTTCAAAGATAGAGATGAATATTTTTCCTGTATCTTCTTTCATTTTACGTATTTCTCTTGTGACTCCAATAGCAGGTTTGGAAAACCAGTGTGTATTACACTCTGTAGGACACGACAGCTATAAAAGTGCTTTGTTCCACCCTAATCAACAAGCGACGAATATTTCAGATAAATGAGACCTTTAAGATAACCTCCTCTGGAAACACCACCATCTTCAGATACTCAAACTCCTCCAGGCGCATCAGGATCTCTCGCATTGGCTTTGACTGCGACTTCTTGGCCATGGCACACACCCCCACCACCACCTGCTTCCCCTCCTCTCCTGCAACCAGATCATCATCTCCTAACTCTGTCAGGTCGCCCTGCAATGCAATAACAAGAAGCATGTATATTTATACCGATCATGTTAAAATGTTGCAACACCATGACTCAATGAACCCAAAGATAAAACATGCAACAAAGCCCAAACTTCTTCACTATAAAATGAGATCTTATGCATGGAAATTATTGAGTGCTGCACAATCTCTAAAGAGTTTATTTCATGCATTACTGCTTCAACAGAAGCAATCCAATCCAACATATCCATACCACAACTGCGAACAGCTGTGCAGAACTCACAACAAAGTGTATTAGTAACACTTGTCATAAGGTAAACCTTCACTATTACTGAAATAAACATGTTGTGTGACTAAATTCTGTTCATGGTGTTCATCTATAGTGGAGGAAAAATCAGTGCCAACAGTCATTGTCTTTGTTATTTATGTAACACCCAAATAACACAAACAGACATAACCTCAACTAATATCCATTCACACTTAATATCCCTCACTAGGAGGGAAAATCCTGATATGGAGAGAACTATGTCAAGAAACAACAGATATATTAATGGAGTGTCATCATCATCACTGGCACGACATCCCTTTGTGAGCCCTGGCCTTCCTCAGGATTGCTCGCCATTCTTCTCCATTCGATGCTACATTCCTCCAGTTCTTTACACCCAAAATTCTTATGTCCTGCCACACACATTCTTCCCATCTTAATCTTGGTCTTCCCACTCTCCTATTTCCTTCTGGTTTAGTATTAAGCATTTTCTTAATCGTTCTATTCTCGCTGGCACATATTGTGTGTCCAGCCCATTCAAACCTAATGTTATATTTTAGCGTCCTGTTGCACTGATTTAAGTCCATGATTTATTTAATCCGTCTTGCAGTGCATACACTCATTTATTTCCTTCTCTCCCTCGCACTACATGTTTCGGCATAATAATGCCATCTTCAGGTGCTTACTTATCCACGTCAAACCAGTTCATTGCATGCCATGTTCACACATTAAAAAACTAAAATATGTATCTATCATATACATTGTCAAACGTTAAAAATATTAAAATTGTTCAGGATACCACATCGCTACGTCGCCCCTCACTACGTCAGTCACGCCCATTCTCCTTTGTTGGAGCACTCCTTCACTATCTTGTGTGTTGTGCTTTTGTTGTGTCGTGCTCCTGCGACTGCGTGTGTTATACTGTTGGGCTTCCTGGAAGCCCATTGTTATAAATCCAATAATGTCTGGTTCATTAAATAGTTTATATAGCTCAGGGTTATACCTCTTCCTCCATACTCCATTTTCTTCCACTGGTCCAAAGATATATCTCAAAATCATCCTTTCAAATATACTTAACAGTCTTTCATCCGATCTTGACAGTGGCCAGGTCTCAAGAGGCATAAGATAGCACTGATCTTATAAGTACTTTATACATCACAGTTTTGGTTTGGTCTTTCAGGAACTTTTTGTTTCATAACTTTACAACAACATATGCTTGAGATATTGAATTTTAAAAATGGGGCAACAATTACAAAATTAAATGCTGCAGTAACAAATTTAAATGTCTGGGGAATTTTATAGTCAAAATGTAGGAGAGATACGAACACAGAAAATATAACACTTTAACTGGTTAATTTCTGAAACCCTGTTGCTATATTACTGAAATGCACAGTGATCACTGTAGCACCTGCACACTGAGCCAAGTTCCGCAGACATTTGAAAGAGTCAGGTTGTGGACTCCACTGATTTGAGATGGAGTAACTCAGTAACTTGCATTTCATAGTATTATTATATGCACACTTGTTTTGTCTCTCACAAACCATGCCAACACCATCACAGCAGTATGAACAAGACACATACCCATTCCTCACAGTAGTACACATTTTCTTGCCAATTCCTCTCTATCTTGAGATTCCTCAAGTCTTTCCACCAGATCCACGGTTCCATACCAATCACACTTCAGCTAACACCAAACTGAGACGTGCTTACATCATGACAAGCAGCAGCTGAGATGGATGATTCAGGACTGAATTACACAATGGAAATTTGAGAGATTGTGCATTTGTTTCCATGAAGTTCCATTCTCACTACAGAAAACTCATGATTCATTTGTGTGTGGTTTAATCGCATGTCAAATTAACAGATTCCTATCCATCTTAACCTTGTTAATTCAATTGAATGACCTGATGGATGTATGTCTGTATACATGTTTGCTCATAACTCAAGTGGCTTAACTTTATCTAGCCTGAACTCAACTAAATGAATGAATGACACTAACAAGATAGATACATTACTCAAGGCTGCATAATCTATGAAAATGAATAAATACTATCTTCCTGAAGTTGTACAGCTAGATTAAATTTTCTTGATCAGAGGCCCAAGACTGGGGGCTTGGAATCCAGATACATCCATTATTCAAGACTTCTTGTTAGAGAAAATAGGGTAATTTTAATGAACTGATTAGAATAAAAACAAAAAATGCATGAAGAATATTATGAAGACACCTTTTAGAGAGTGAAACCTCAGAAGACAAGCATGATGATGAATGCATCTTACCAGAACAAGCTTTAGTAATACCATTTTGTGTAGGCTCACAGTCATGTACAATGATTACTTTACAGTTTAGTGTTGAATTTTCATGTTCTATTGTCAAGAAGTCAGTTTATTTCTAGCTTGCAGATCACTGTATATAATTCTGAGAAGACATTTGTTGCTTTTATTCACAAGAATAACTTTAAGAAACTGGGCATATTAAGTTCAAAATCAGAGAATGCTGTCCATACACTGGGCTAATTTCTGAAGTTTACTGCTAGCAACATATTACTGCCTGTTTTAATCATCATCAGTAATCTGTCAGACGACAGGTCCGCAGTCTATTCCAAAACAATTCCTCCACTTAATGCGATCTAGAGCTTTCTCCTTCAAATGAGAGTATCCTCTTCTGTCCCCAAGGTCACCCAGCATCTTCTTACGTCTTCTTCCTCATCTTCTTGTCACTTCTATCTGCCCCTCTATCTTTCCTTCAATAACTTCTTTTAGAAGGCAGTTTCTGCGTAAAACATGACCAATCCAATTAGCCTTCCGTTTTCTTATTTCGTGTAGGATATTCCTCTGCTCACTGACTCTAAATAACACTTCTTCATTTCTCACATAATCGGTCCAACTGATCTTCTCCATCCTTCTCCAACACCACATTTCGAAGCTTTCCAGGTGTTTCTGATCTACTGCCCTAAGTGTCCAAGTTTCAACCTCATACAAAGCGATGCTCCAAACGTAGCATTTCACTAGTTTCTTTCTCAAATTTAAGTCCAATTTGCTGGTAAAAAGATTCTTCTTCTTGCTAAACGCAGCTTTTGCCATGGCAATCCTGGATTTAATTTCACTAGTACACCTTCCATCATCTGTTAACAAGCTACCCAAATATTTAAAACATTTCACATTCTCCAGTTGTTTTTGGTCTATCTTTATTGTGACTGGGGTTGGTTGTCTCGAAATTTTCATTACTTTTGTTTTCTCCACATTCATTTCCATGCCATAGCACCTTCCATTTTCAATTAGTCTATCAATCATGCCCTGTAGCACAGTTTCTTCCTTAGCCATTAACACAAGGTCATCTGCATATTTCACAGTTTGAATAATTTGCCCTCCTACTTTGAAGTCACCGAGCCCATCCAGAGCTTCCTTGGTAAGGCATTCGCTGTACAAGTTGAACAGAATTGGTGATAAACAGCATCCTTGTCGAACTCCTCTTCCAATCTGCACACTTCTTGTCTCCCCTCTGTCGTCCAGTCGTACTCTTAACTTTCTGATATATGTACAATTTGCTAATCAATCTTCTTTCACGCCAATCGATACCTGTTTCCTTTAGGATCTGCATTAATTTGGTCCAGTTTACACGGTCAAATGCCTTCTGCCAGTCTATGAAGCAAACACACAGTTCATCTATCTCCAAAGTTTGTTCTTCCAAAATTCTCATCATCCCAATTGCATCCCTGCTTCCTTTT